CCCTTAAAATTGTGATAATATCTCGTGATTTCCAGCGATTTCCATGTGATGTCAAGTATTAAAGTTTAGAATATTCCTGAATGAATAAACCCTCGATATTTGCTGATCCACTGCCGATGGTTATTCCTCGTCAACATCGGCCCTTTGCCCCGTGTTAGGACTACCGAGGCATCCCGAAGAGCCTGAAAGTTCCTCCGGTTCTCCCTGGAACCAGTTTCCGCGTTAAATGAGCGGTTCTCACGGAATCGCCGACGCGTTTTCCCCGGCGTAATTGCGCCGCTGGCCGCGCCCCGCATCGAGAGCCGCTGCTCTCTGCTCTCTCTCTCTCTGACTGGCCATCTTTTCCCTTTATCTTGTTCCCTTTTCCTATGCCTCTTCCTCGCTGTCCCCCTTCCACAACCGCATCTATCCGTTCGCTGATTCAACGAACGGCGAATCTACGGATCAACTCCAACCGATTCAGTCCATCCAATTCAGAGAAAAAAAATCATGAACTGTGAACATCGTTGATTAAAATATCTCATCGAATTAAGAAAACACGTTAGTCGATCGAAACTAGCGAATCCGATCAAGTGAACTGAAATTCGGTTAGGCCGATTTTCTTAAACGAGCCAAATCATTTTTCCCTTTTTCTGCGTTCACGTCTACCCTGGGAAAAAAGATCAGCTGACTGAAACGAATATATACATCGTTGCCTGAATCATATATAACAGCAAGGGACAATTATTTCCTCGCGAAGAAAAATTATATCGTTGATTGTAGTTAATTTTCTTTCCTCTTCCTGACACTTCTTCGGGCGTATTTCATCGGAGGATTTTGTTGTGGCGATGATTATTTCTTCGAGTGCATCAATTTTTTTTTCTTCTTCCTCGGGGTGACTCGTCCGAGTGTGACTTCCAGTGCACGTTGCAGTCGTTACAGGTATTTTTAACAGCGTAGGCGTCACTCGGAGGCATCGCTTCCTGTGCCGCTCGGTTCCGCCAGGTGGGTGGTGGTCGTTGCATCGAGCCCAGGGAAAGGCGCGACCGCGACTGCGAAAGGACTTTTAGCGGAGGCATTAGATGAATATTGCTCGTAAAAAAAACTGGCGAGATCGCGGCCGCGGATCGTAAAAGCGGCCCTGGTAAATCGACGGCCGGATACCAGCGGATTCGGTCTACTCCAGATCCCGTTGGGATTCCTCCGGGTCTGCCGGGAGGCGACAAAGCGTGTCGGCTTGCGAGCGTATCCTGAAGACCCCCACGCGGACCTGCATCCTTCCTGGGATAAGAATCAAACAAGGAATCCTGAGATTAAGCAGCTATATATATAGCGCCGATTTCGGTGGAAAGGAACCACGTGGTCGCTGATTAGGGCCGCAATCCTTCATAAGAAAATACATAAACCAAATGCCAGTTGCACCGACGCTCAAGTTAAGATCCTTAATCAAGGGTTACTTAACCCGTGTTTAGAGTTAATCACCCGATTTCGGGAGTTTACCTAACGGTGGATCTTAATCTACAGTTAGAGAAATCATTTTCAGGACGAGTTTCACTAATCCGAGATTAACTAAACGTGGCTGAGAAATTCTACGTTAATCTTGGTTGGTGCGTTTGGCTTTACCGTCGGTTTCGGTCATCACTGCGGTCTGGTGGTGAGCGAATGCAAAAGATCAAGATCGATCTTTTCTTTTTTTTTTTTCTACTACTTTTAGCGATGATCAAATGCAAGTCCAATTTACCCTAGCAATCCATTCTAAGGAAGAGCAATAAAATCAGAATAATTTGATGCAAGTGCCCCAGGAAGCGCTCCCCCCGCACATAACGGAGCGCTTCTTGCCGATTTTCCGCGAACCCAGCTCGGCGTCGAGGCCGCGGCGAATCGGCTCCCCATCGTACCGGGAAGTCGCCGATCGTTCGAGTCCGTCGCCTCGGCGCGCGGTAAAAAGTCCACCATGGAACCGTACAAAAAGAAAAAAGAAAAGGGAACAAAACCCAGGGAAGAAACGGAACCCGCGCTCGGTGCCGTCGACCGAGACGCGTTTCCCGGGCGGCCACGAATCGGCGGTGAAATCTCCGCAGGTGTCCTCGCGACCGCTCGAGCACCGTCCTCGAGCCACATATCCCAGACACCTCGCAACAAATCGCAATTAAATGAACAGATGTGAATTAAATCATCATTGCGGGGTCTCCCCCCCCCCAAAAAAAAAATACTCCAAATACCCTTACAACCATTTTCTCGCGGGTCGCGAGGTCGACTGGAACTTTCCATCGAAAAATTTCCCTGGGGATTAATCCCGCGCCAGATACAATGCAGAGTCCCGTCGGTGTCGCACAGGGCGCGGCGCGTCGAGGCGTCGAGGATGGAAAACCATGGAAACTCGTCCATAGAATCAAAAGTGCCGCACGTGGTCAGTTTCGACATTTTTCTCCATTACCCCGGGTGACGCGCCGCGGCCGGTGCGACACCGGACGCGACCCTCGCGTTCCCGTTTAAATGGCCGCGCGTGTTCCGTTCTCCGTCCCCGTTCCTCCCGTTCCGTCAGGAAATGCGCTCGCGTGGAGCGGCGCAACGGTAATCGTTACCGGGGGGGGGTCCGTTTTCGAGCCGACGCAGTGCGTTTCAGCGGCTGGTGCGTTTTTCCTTTTTTCCCCCCTTAACGAGCGGGAGGGGGAGGGAGAGAGAGAGATAGAAAGAGAAAGAGGGACAGGCCGATCGATCGGTCCAAGGAGCGAACGGCGCGATTGGGACCGGGATTAAAAGCGGAGCCGAGCTTTTTCCTCCCGGCTGCCCACCTGGCTTTCTCTCCTGCCTTTTCCTTCTTTTCTTTCTTATTTTTTTCTTTTCCCTTTTCCTCGGCCAAGAGGAGGCTCTCGGACGCAGGATATATCTTCTTCTCGGATAGGAACCGGAACCCGCGGCTCCGTGCTTGGAATCGCCTCTACGTCCGCGCAGATCTGTCCGTGCATACGAATAAGTTAACGCCGGCCCTCGGAATACGGACTCTCGGCGTGTACGCACGTACACGTGTACCCTCGCGATATGTATACATATACATATGTATATACACATCGCGAGTCGAGAAGAGAAAGGTTATGGCGAGCGAGCCGCCGATCCCTCGCTATCGACCGTAGCTTAGGCCAATGCCCGGCGCTCTTTTGCGGCGACTTTTCAAGATCATCGATTTCCTGGATACAGCACCGACTATTGGGCAGATTTTCCCCAGGGCAGAGGAACTTTGGCCTCGGGACTTTCCCTAGGAAACTCGAGATTTCACCCGCCGATGCCGGGCGACCTCCAAGTCACGTGTTATTCATGAAAATTCTTGCATCACCCATTTTACAAACGGTTCATGTATCGTTAGATCGTGTAAGAAAATTGGAGTTTCAATTGGGGTGTTTTTCTTTTTTCTTCTTTCTAGGTACGAAGATAAATAATATAAAATTGGTCGTAAGGGTTTAAGGGAGTTTCAAATGGTCTACCAAGTTCCATGAAATGGGTGCCCTTCTTTCCTGCTCGCTTCTAACCCGAGTTATCCTTCCTGGCAGGAACCGAAGGGTCGTAATCCCCAGGATCCCTGCCGACCTTGAATCTCCCGAGGCTCGTAAACACGATATAAAAATAACCTGTAACGACATGGGAACGTTTACCCTGTGCAGTATCGGCCTTTTTTCGCGCTGCCGCGCCCGAGGACGTCGCCTTTCTCGGGGAGAAAATGCTAATGCCTACGCGAGTGCGAACAAATTAACGGATCCTCGCAGACCAGTCGTTAGGGACCATCGAAGACTACTAACAGCTCCGACACTTCCTGAGCTACCTAGTTCTTCCCAGGTGTATTTATCGGCATCGAAAGCTGTCTTCTACATCGTGTTTTACCTTCCTACGCTCTTGTCGCTGCCCAGACCCTTAAGTACGGTACAGACTAGAAAGATATGAAACCACCCTTACGAACTAAGTCCAATGCTATCGTTTCCTCCTTATTAAACATTCACTACCGAGAAAGGCAGAATGTGGTCTCCATACCTTCCGTCGAGTCCCACTCAATCCTCCGATTACTATTCCTCGCCAATCCTTGTCCTCTACCTGTCCTTTTCTCCCACGAACCCACGTAGAACCCAGATCCTTAAAAGAAGAAAAAGTTCAGCATAACCTGAATTCGCAAAGCAACGGTACGCAGGCCATAAGCCACCTCCATATTTCCTAGTATTCTCTCAGCCTCGCCGAACACCTGGCGCGACAAAAGCCGAGGTGCTCGCCCGTAGGCGAGACATAACCTTGAAGTTATCCTCGGGCGTCCCTCGGACTCGTGGAAGGTTCCGGCAACGTCAAAGAGGGCGCGTCTCGGGGTGAATGACGCGCCGGTCGTCCCGGCGTCAGATCCTTTGTTTTCGCCCGGTGCGCCGTACTCGGCGTGACGAGGTGCACGAAACGTTGCACAGAGGCGAAAACGAGGCCCAGGAAGTCATTCCCGACGACGGGGAGACCGGCGAGTCGATAAATTCATAGGAAAAGGCCCGCGGCGCCGGCAGAAGGAGCCGCGCGCGTGCCGGCGTCACCGGGCGACACAAGGGACCGTTGGGGCGCGGAAAGTTCGGGGACGCGGCCCGCCTCGGCGGGTAATTATTTCCGTGTATCTTCGACTAGGCGGGTTTTCCGCATCTCCTCGATAATGGATGCACACACTCACCGGAATCGACGGAAGTATTCTCAGGAAGTGTCTCGGGAAACACACGTATCGAGCACTAGCGTAACGCAAGAACTTCACACGACTGTACTCCGGGAAGCGAAGCTGCCAGGAGGGGAAGAAGCCGGGCGCGGCGCATGCGCAACCAGCGAACGAGCGAGCGACCGCGCCGCCATCTTGCGGCCGCGTACAGTACTCGCTACTCAATCTACGTATATAAAAAATACGAATTATTCCTCATCTCGTTAATTCAACTGAATTCAACTGAATAACCAAGTGAACTCTGTCATGCGCTTTATTTGTACCGCAATTTACATGCTCTTCCGGGCTATTCAATGTATAATAGATCAATTTAGAAATCTCCTCTTAAGTTATTTCCCGGTGATGTCGGCGTTACATTTTCTGAGGAACGAGAAAAGTCACAGCATGAAGGGCACGTCCATATTCTTTTTCCCGTTTCCGATGTATAGGGACCCGTAATGAGGGGAATCTATTTTGTGGTAGAATGCCATCCCGGGCCAGTATAAGCTGCACAAAACGGCTAAACGTCCTCCTAGGTAGAACTGCAGATTCCAGCATCCTGAAATAGTCTTTATTATTCACTGGTAATTAGGCTTCCACTGGAATTGGGAGTATAATGGATATCTGTGGACTCTGCCTTCGGGAACATCCGTGTCAATGGTGTCAAGGAAATCAAAGGAGTAGTTGTAATCTGGCCTGGTTAATAAATTAGTGTTCCATTTCTGTTGGGGAAGGCGTGCGTGTTGGAAGGATTTCAGGTATAGACATTCTGATTGCGATAAGCCCTCAAATCCTGGATTCTCGATTATATCTCCATTTGGGGATTTGAACCATCCTCCTCGAGGGACGACCATAGCGTCCGTATTGATCAATTCGACGATCGCCGATAACCGATCTTCTTCCTTCAATTCTCGCGGAATAACGCCCTAAAGGAAGTTACCAATCGTAAGCAACAGATATGTTTCTAAAAATCTATAATACATTTTGATCACCTTCTTGTACACAGTTTTTGGATCTTGATTTGCAGGAAATGGAGGATTGGCTTTATAAACGTTAGTCACTATGGACGTATCGCCTTGAAATTTGTTTATCGCCAATGGTGCCAAAAATTGACCGCATTCGTTGGGCTTTGGCATTAAAAACCAGTCTACACAGTTGATGCTATTTACATAATTGAAGTATTTCTTATTACTAGATTATCAGTGAATCAGGTGCGTGATCATGTAACTATTTACCTGTAAAAATATACTTGACCATTCAAGCAGTCCTTCTCATAACCGTAAGCGATGTAATAATCATTCTCGATTCCATCGATCCTGCCCCAATAGTAGCATTTTCGGAAATGATTTTCCTGTTGCAGGATCAGCAGTGAATTTTGCAGAAGTTGGGACCGTTCGGCGCTTACGCACACTCCTGCATAACCTAGTAAATCTAGGCTTTGTAATAACCTTAAACATTCCATACTGTCACAGAAGAATAAACAGTGACATGCTCGTGTTATTCAAATTTTATATTTACCGCCTTTCGCTGCAGCCAGCATCCGAAGTAATTCGAGGTTGTCCCGACAGATGGCGGGACTTGAAGGAAAAAGTGGAACTATCCAGAACAATTATAACCTCTAATGCCTGATAAAACACCTTCCACCGTACGGCGGGAGACCAGTCTGTCTCTCTCGCATATATCTTAACGCAAGTGCGAGAAAGATAGAACGACGAAATAGAAGTAGATTCTCATTTACTCTCCTACTTCGTCGCTGATGAAGCTCGGAGAGTCATATTGCATTACGTAAATCGTTCTCTGTCCTCTATATTCGTTTATATCTGTCTCGGTTGGTCACGGTCGACGACGAGTCGTTCTTGAACGTATCGACGCGGATGAGTTATTCCTCAAGCGACATGGATGGAACAAGGCCGAGGGTCATAGAGTCTTTGGTTTCCTTCATTGATTTTCATGTTTTTCTTGACCAAGATTATGTACTAATATTGAATTAAATTAATACCTTCCCAGCAATTAATCTCGGAGGTTGCGCAAGACAGGGTCAGAAGGGCACCGGTCTGCGCCGGTTCTGTTAGCTCGATTGGTCGTCGCGACTCTTTCAAACTTTTTATCTTAAATAAAGGATAAGCGTTGTCCTTGCTGGAATACAACCGCTGCGCAGATGAGTCCGCTAGCACGACACGCCATTCCGACTTTAGGTCGACCGTCGTTCGCTTGTCTCGCTCGCGGGTTTCGAACGTCTATACAAAACATGGTTATTTCGGTGAGTCTTCAAACTGTTATTACAGTGTGATATGATGTTTAATTTACACGACATTGGAAAGCAATTACTAAAGATATAATACATTTATTCAGGTAGGAGATAAGGTTCCTGCTGTCGATTTGTACGAAGATACTCCGGCTAACAAAGTCAATCTCCACCAGCTGTCGCAAGGAAAGAAAATTATTGTCTTCGCAGTGCCTGGTGCCTTCACGCCAGGCTGTTCAAAGGTTCGATGGATTGTTCTAATTAGTTTATTGTATCATTTTGTGGTATCGCAATTTCAAGTAACGTTCTGTTCAGACTCATCTGCCTGGGTATGTGCAAAAAGCGGACGAACTTAAATCCAAAGGATATGCGGAGATCTGTTGCATCGGTGTCAATGATCCTTTCGTTATGGCAGCATGGGGCAAACAACAAGGAGCCGATGGAAAGGTGAAGATATATAATTTTGTAAATTGTTAAATATGACTAAACATTTATACCTTTCTATAACAGGTACGCATGTTAGCGGATTCAGCAGCTGCGTTTACTTCAGCGGTTGATCTCGGGGTGGACTTACCAGTGTTGGGTGGAAAGCGGAGCAAGCGTTACTCGATGGTAATCGAAAACGGAATTGTAAAGCAACTGAACGTCGAACCAGATGGTACTGGTCTGTCGTGCTCTTTGGCTGATAACATTAAACCTTAAGATCGTAATGTACAAATCTGCTGGTTGTAAAACATTATTAACTAAGATGTTTTTGGCATTAGACTTATCACTTGCGTGGTATGTAGATGTTCTACTGTTTTTGTGAAATGTTAATTATCATATGAATATATCAGAGTAGAGAGTGTTGCAGTTAAATAAGTGATGTTTCATTTTTCCTTCCTCAAACCTGCGGGAGAAAATTCGTATTTGAAATTATATTCGCGGGAAGATAACGGGAGGAAGTGATCAAATGAACAATTGGAAAAGGACGTATAAAGTCCACTCTAGGATACATTCAAATATATCGGCTTTTGGTGCACTCCAAGAGTGGGCAGCGCAGAACCGTTCTTGAAAATTGTGCAGTTGCCAACAGAGATGAGTAGGAAGATTGTTCACAGGCAGGATCGTGTGATCGCATCCTGTGCTGCCCTCTGGTTTCGTACGTTGCTTTCACCGTTTTTTGCCTCCAAGGCGGCGCAATGAATTTTTGATAGGAGCTCGCGCTCTCACAATGGCGGTACCATCTACCAGTCGCCGCTGGCGGCTCACGTACTCGTGATGGTAATACCATGCGGCAGTTGACGGTGGTGGCTTACCTACGCTTACCAATACTGCTCGCTTTTGATGTTAAGGGAAGAACATTCGTGACGCTCCATTTGACTTTATCTACTTATCTACTACTATTAAGTACATTGTTGCCCCGAAGTCAACGTGATGCGGAGCTTTGGGACATGCGTCGGTGTCGCGTACGGAATTCTCATGCAGCGAATCTGCGTGAGTGCGATCGCTCCTAGAAATCTTCGCGCGTCCCAACCAGCCAAGCGCCAAGCTACGGGTCGAGATGTTGAGTATATGTGCGTTTGGCGCTACACTCGACGAGTATGCGTGAGAGTCGAATACTGCGAAAAATCCTCCCGAGGCATGCCTAACTGCGAATATAAGCCGAGTCATTTCGCGTATGTTTTTACATTTCCCTACTAGCGTTATCGAGCGTTTTTCGAGCGTTTTTGAACGTTTTCGAGCGTTTTTTAACCGTTTTCGAATGTTTTCGAGCGTTATCGAGCGTTTGTCAAGCGTTTTCGAGCATTATCGATCGTTTTTCGAGTGTTTTTGAAAGTTTTTGAGCGTTTTCGCGCGTTTTTAAAGTGTTTCCGAGCCTTATCGTAGGCCGTACAGTGCCGTTGAGCGTTGTTAAGTGCAGTAGAGTGCCGCAGAGTGCCGGAGAGTGCCGGAGAGTGCTGCAGAGTGTCGGAGAGTGCCGGAGAGTGTTGGAGAGTTGCTGCAGAGTACCCGAGAGTTGCCCGAGTGTGCCGGAGAGTGCCGTAGAGTGCCGGAGAGTGCCGGACAGTTTCCGCAGAGTGCCGGACAGTGCCGGAGAGTTGCTACAGAGTGCCGGAGAGTGCCGGAGAGTTGCCACAGAGTGCCGAAGAGTGCCGGAGAGTGCCGGAGAGTTGCTACAGAGTGCCGGAGAGTGCCGGAGAGTGCCGGTCCCGCACTCTCCGGCACTCTCCGGCGCTCTCCGGCACTCTGCTGCACTCTGCGGCAACTCTCCGGCACTCTCCGGCACTCTCCGGCACTCTGCGGCACTCTACTGCACTTAACAACGCTCAACGGCACTGTACGGCCTGCGATAAGGCTCGGAAACACTTGAAAAACTTGCGAAAACGTTCAAAAACACTCGAAAAACGATCGATAACGCTCGAAAACGCTTGACAAACGCTCGATAACGCTCGAAAACACTCGGAAATGGTTGAAAAACGCTCGAAAACGTTCAACAACGGTCGAAAAGCGCTCGATAACGCTTGAACACGATCGAAACCACTCTGAAGATGATCGGGAAACGCTCGAAAACGGTCGAAAAGCGCTCGATAACGCTTGAAAATGCTCGAAGCCGCTCTGAAAACGCTCGAAAACGGTCGAAAAACGCTCGATAACACGCGAAAACGCTCGAAAACACTTGAAAACGCTCGAAAAACACTCGGTAACGCTCAAAATTACCATCACGAGTACGTGAGCCGCCAACGGCGACTGGTAGATGGTACCGCCATCGCGAGGGCGCGAGCTCCTATCAGAAATTCGTTGCGCCGCCCTCGGGGGCAAAAAACGGTGAAGCTAACGTACGAAACCAGAGGGCAGCACAGGATGCGATCACACGATCCTGCCTGTGAGCAATCTCCCAACTCATCTCTGTCGCCAATTTGGGAGTTAAATTCAGGGCGTTTATTACATATTTTTGACTAGAGCGCTCACTTCTCGCACTTTCATCTCACGTGGGTTTATGCGTCGAATTACTTATTCGCTATATGAAAGAACGAGATCACTAGCACTTCTGGTTTAGTAATATTTTAAATAAAGGTACGTACCTTGCAAATCGAAAATTGTTGAGAGGAAGTGGGTTATAAGAAGAAAAAGTGGGAAGATGGAAAGCCGTTAGAAGGTAATAGCAGAGATAGACCCCCCGTTCATGGAGGATAGCTGAGGTTAGGTAACTCTATCGACAGAGTCTTTACTAAACGCGTCCGGAACGAAGAACCAATCAGACCCACGCTTAATTCGAACGTCGCTTCTGATTGGTTCTTCATCTTTGACGCGTTGATTTGCCGCGCTCTTTGTGACATGCGACGCGCTCGGTGGGACTCCGGCCTCAGAGGTTACCAAAAGTCAGACAAGGACGATGCACTCGCTCTCCCTCTAGCCCGTTGCAACACAGGTGCGTTGTTATATTCCAGTGGTTCTCATTTCTTCGATCGAGCGAGGGAACCAATGAGGGAAGCCCGAAGTCGATTGTTGACGGACGGGTGCCTGCTGCTGAGCAGGTAGATCGAGTCGGAAACTAGATTTTTCTTAACAGGTAATCCTTTTCATTCGATTGTTGTTAAATAACGAAGGATGCCGCAACAGTCACGAGTAAGGCGATAGATTAGACCGCCTTCGGAGGTAACGGGCCCGAAAAGCCCCGAGAATTTCCACTAGTCTAGAAACCCAATTACTCCAGTTTTATTTTCTGGTCAGCTCGTGTGTACGGATGTCAATCGATAATGTTGTTTTAATGTTTCCACATCAGCTGACAGGTGGACAGACTTTGGAGACCCGTGACGTATAGAGGACGACGAGATGGATCCAAGGGGCCCTCCTGAGGGGGCCCCTGGCGATCCATTGGACATTTCCCTGGTGTCGGATAAGACTTCGGATATCGCGGATTCCTGGTCCATAGATCACTCAGTTTCCTCGCCGTTGTGCGATCAACCTAAGAAGATGAACAACAGACTTCTGTTTTTGGCGGTAAGCTAGCGATAAGTGGAACAAAACGGGGTACCTGTGATTAATTCTTTCGAGCTTCGAATTAATGAGACGATTTGATAGTTCGATGAGTTGTTTATTTAATTAATCGTTGTCTTTAGGTCGAGTACGTGGATGAACAGCCGAAGGATTATTCTCGTATTTTTCCGGCCTATGAACAGGTTTCCTTCTCCCCAAGAACCTCCTCTCCGTTGTCTGATTTCGAGCACCGAGTGAGCCCCTTAGATCCAAATATGAGTTCCACTGCGAGATATTCACCAACTCCGGTGCAATTACCTCCATCCCCTTTCCAAAACTCGGTTGTCGTCCTGCAAAATCCGTCTTCCCCTATGATTTGCCCACCTGAGACGAATGCTCGAGCGGGCATTAATTACGTGTCGCAGCTGACTGACCAGAACAATGTACAAAGCATACCGCAGTCTGGTACTGGCACAGATTTCGTTGACAGATCTACTGACGAGGAACTCGTTACCGAGGTTGAAGGGGAACTGATCTTGGTACAAGGTATTGAATAATGTCTATAATCTATTTCTACTATATGCAGTGGGTACCTGTACTTACGTTAATGCTTTTTAGGCTCAACCCCTGATTTGGAACCATCCGCTGCACCGCTCATGTTAACAGGGATACCGAATACAGATTTTGCATTGACTAGAGATTTTCTGGTAATGAACGATGATCAAATAAATGCCATGGGATCGTTGAGGAACCAAAGTTTGGAGATCGGCGATGGGGATGTCATAACTCCTACGCAAACAATAAATGTTCGTGATGCGGCGGTGTCGCCTAAAAAGGAGCCGTCACGGGTTTTTGATGAGATTTTATTAGGATCTGAAGTAGAAAATGAGAAAGAGTGTGTCAGAAGATCCAAGCGCATAAATGACAGGAAAGCATTCTGTGAGGATTTGCTTTAAATTCTTTAATAATTTCAATAATCGTGGAGACAGAGATACCCTATTCACATTTATGTATTTTTAATTGTTCCCAGGGTGTGACGAATGTAACAGTATTTGCGAAAATGCGAACGATTGCACTTCACACAATGTGCATACTATAGCGGATCAACCAGTACCCTCGAGGGCTATTGCAACACTGCCAGGATCATATCTATCTATTAATAAGTTACCATCGTCACAAGTCTTACAAGGTGGCTTGGAGTATGGAGTCTTTGCTAAGCGTAACATAAGGAAGCGTACACAGTTTGGTCCTATCGAGGGTATCCTGTATGTCTACGATCAGACACCTTTTATTAATGTCTTGCCACTACTTTACGAAACAGCTGATGGAAAGTTCATGAAAGTCGACGTATCGAATGAACGTGAGTCTCTGAAATGTCTTTGGTAGATCCGAGATCGTTCTTCGGACTTTCAACTTTTACATGAGATTTTCTGTTAACATAGATGCATCAAACTGGATGCGTTTTGTGAGGCCTGCGATAAGCTACAAGGAGCAAAACCTGGTAATTTGTCAGCAAAACGATGGAATCGTATTTCTGACAACAAAAGATATTTTACCGAAGGAGGAATTAAGGGCTGGTCCCAGTTCCGACTATGCAATCCGTAGAAACTTGCAAATTCTCAAACCAGACATAAAGGAGGAAAAAGGTATTTCCATAAATCAATATTTTGGTTAAAGAATTACTTGATTCTAAATTTCTTACGCTTAAATATCTTTTTATTTTAGAGGGCCTTCGTAAACATCCAAACGGTCACAACTCTTCCATAACCGAAAGCAAGCAAAAGAAGAAGCGCAAGGAGATTCACATCCCGTCCAAGTACTGTATTATACTCAGCAAAATATTTTACTCCGACCAGATAGAGCAACTGATTTTTAATATAAATACGTCTCTTGCGTTCCAGGAAATTCTTTAAGATCGTGGATGGCCAGACTCTCCTCTACACGTGTCCACACTGTCCAAAAGTATTTCCTCGGAGTTACAGCCTAAAACGACATTTACTGATCCACCCAGGTGCGAAGGCACCTCGTTACGAGTGTCCCACGTGTGGTGAGAATTTTTTGCATCCTTACAACCGCAGTCGCCACATGAAAATCTTCCATGGTGCGGACCCGAAAGAGAAGGAGAACTCCAGGCAGAACACGATGGAGTGGAAGTGCCGAACCTGCACCCTGGCCTTCGGGAAAGCATCATTGCTCAATTTACACAGCCTAGTACATAAGGCGGATAGTCTGGAAGCAGGAAAGGGTCAATCTTCCGTCTGCCCCCAGTGCGGCACCGAATTTAAAAAGCGAATTGATCTTATCAATCACGTCTCTCAACATGGTCGACTTCAGCTCTCGAAAGCTGGTAAATTGAACACTCTCGCTGCATACAAATGCTCACGATGCTACAAGCGATTCGCAACCAAAGTGCGATTACAGCAACACTGTCTAGTTCACGGAGCTGAAGATCAGAAGCCCCTGCCCTGCGAGATTTGCAGGAAGCGATTCATGAATAACTCCGCTCTCTCCTGTCATCTGAAGACACACAGAGGTATACTTTGCTCTTCATAGTACAAAATAATTAGCCACATCTAGTTTTAATGACTATTTCACTTTGACTTTTCAGCAGACAAACAGGTGTTTGAGTGTCCGATGTGCAGGCAGTTATTTGACCAGGTCTTGATGCTGAAGGACCACATCGAGACTCATCGAAACGATGACGAGACCTTCACTTGTCCCTACTGTCTTAGGTCCTTTGTCAAGTATTCCGTAATTCGCAAGCATATCAGGGCTCACCATTGCGAAAGGAAGCATACTTGTCAGTTGTGCGCGAATCGTTTCCCCACGGTTGACAAATTGCGCATGCACATGTTGCGGCACTCCGATTATAGGTTAGGATCTCGACCCTAAAAAAAAGTTACTAGTGATAATTTTCTTTTGCTAACGGTTGGCTTTTTTTTTCGGACAGAGAATTTCATTGCGCAAATTGTGGGAAGCAATTCAAAAGGAAGGATAAATTGAAGGAGCACATGACTCGGATGCACAACTCGGACAGAGCAAACCGGGAACAGGTGGCACAAACTCAGTCTGCTAAAAAATTCGTACCAAAGGTACTCCTCATGGCTTGGTTATTGCAAAAGAAATATTCCATTAGAAAGAGACGTACAAGAGAAAAACGTTGCACGATCATTAACACCGTCATGGAGTCTACATCAGAACTATCATTTTTAGATCAGTTTATCAGTTTTTGGGTCTAACGTGTCTAACTTGACAGGTTAATCCAACGGATTACAATCGCTTCGTATACAAGTGTCATCGATGTATGGTGGGTTTCAAACGAAGAGGCATGCTCGTCAACCACCTGGCCAAGAGGCATCCAGACGTCCCTCCAGAATCCGTGCCAGAGTTAAATCTACCGATATTAAGACAAACGAGGGATTACTATTGCCAGTACTGCGACAAGGTAAGCTCTTCGAGGTGAATCGCTCCACAGATTACAAGAACCTCGATGATCCTTCAAGGTCTACAAGAGCAGCAGCAAGAGAAAAGCTCATATCATGAAGAACCATCCTGGGGCAGCAGTGCCTCCGAGCAATCGCCAGAAGGAGTCGGACATTTCAGGTTTGCCGAACCCAACTTTCAGTCAGACGGTGGGCAGCATAACGACGACTCCTCAGGGTTGTCAATGGTGCCACAAACAGTACGCGAGTAAGGTAATTAACTAGGTTCCCTGTAATCATGACAGAGAAATATATCAATTAAAATAACCGTTACCATCAGGCGAAATTGCTGCAACATCAGCGCAAGAAGCACCCGAACCTGATGGAGCCCGCGGACCAGGTTCCTCGTCCGAGGAATCGTCCTCCTCAGAATCAAAACCAGCCTCCGGCTCTCGGGGAAAACTTCCTGATAGCCGAGTACGTCCAGCCCTGCGACCTGGAGCAGAGTTTCCTGAAGACAAAGATAATAAAGCTGTCGAACGACGTGGACCTGGTGACCAACGGTTACGAGATGGTCGGTCAGCAATTCGTGCGGATGCGCGACATACGTTGAAGGGACGTCGCACACGGGCCGCGGTAAAACGCGGCCCCCGCGATGGTAAAAGTCACCGAGATATGAATCTCTTGAATTTGTGCACGGCCCGGCAGGGCTGGTACTTTTTGCCGCGGTATATGCAAGGGCATGTGCATATTTCCGTCTCCAAGGAGCGGCGGCCACGTTGGCTCGATGGTCGCCGCCGAGCGGGAGTTGAAACGCGGCTTGTTGGCTCATCCCGATGCACCGGGAAGACGCCATTGTTGGACCGGCTTTGGAAAATGCGTCTAGCCCTGTGCACGCTCGGAGGGAAAAGAAGAGGGGAAAAAAAGGAGGAATTTGCTACCCTATATAGGCGGCCGAGGTTCTCCGGCAGCGAGGAGCAGGCGTTGACGCCAGGAATGCGTTTTCCGATGCACGTTGCACGCGAGTTAAGGGCTAGGCAAGTTATGCATTTTGTGGGGAAGGACGGGTCTCACTTCCACGATCGCGCGGTTTCGCGGGTCCCGTGTTTCGGGATGCCTTCGAGATACAATGATCTCAGTGTTTAAAATGATGGAAACGAGTAGTGCACTCGATTCATGGGACTGCGTGCCGCGCGAGGCGTTGTACAAACTTGGGAATAACGGCTACGAGGTGTTACATAGTTGTGTTAACGTAGGGAAATCATTATCTGCCGGAGAATGGGATGTTACGCGCATTCGGGGCACGCCAAGTAGAACTTGAAGTGCCGACTTGAAGACGGAATACCGGGATTTAAGTAGAGGAGCCTTTGCCAATCGCGCGCGGCTTGCCCCGTCTGCACCCGAGATAGATGATTTCACTTCCTCGTAAATGTGTGTAGTTTTGCAATCGAACTATCTTTATGCTCAAGAGTACACGGCAAATTAATTGCAAACGAAGTCAATGGTGAAACCAAGCATGTGATATTAGAGCCGCCCCCGGCGATTCGCGCACAAAATGCGAGACCGGCTCTCGTGGTTTCCAATCAATTTGCGGGACCGTGCGTGCGTGCGTGCGTGTACTTCCTCGTACCGAGCCCGAAAGAGGAATAGGAAAAACGGAAGAAAAGAGATAAGAGAAATGACAAAAAAATATGGAGAAGTACACCGCCGCGTCGGCGAGTAGCGCGACGCGGCGAGACGATTTGCCGACGTAGGAAATTAATGACTGTGTTAGCTAGACACTTGTCCCCGTGTCTGTATTAACGGATTCGATTTTCATTTCTTCTTCCTCTTCTTTTCTCATCATTACTCTCTCTCTCGTGCAAATCTTCCTAGCCGGGGTGAGGAGAAATCCGAGGATTTTCGCGCGTCCCGCGGCGCGCCTCCTGCGAGCGAGTTCGACTCGGCGTTTGTTATCTATTCTTTATCTATCCTAAGAAGTTTCATTAGGGATTCCTCGATTGTTCTAATAGCTCGCCCGAGGCGCGCCGTGGACGTCGCTCTTGAAACTTAGACCGAATAATTGTACTGCCATCGCGATTCAGGGTATAACCGCGAATTTTGCGCAACTATCCTCGCGCGTGTTGCACGCTCTCTTTGCGTGCGTTGTTGGAGGGGGTGCGAATTTTAAGGAAACGAATCTTTCCTACTAAGCGGTAGACAATTGAATTCCGACGTTCCTCGAGGGGGCGACTGGCGTCTCTTTAATGCGGAAGATACATGTAATTAATTGGCATTCCCCGATCGACTTGAAAAGTCGGAGACGATCGTTCGTTTCTTTTTTTTTTTTTTGCGAGATTCAAGGACCTGAAACGAAGTCACGGTGTAATTGCCGCCGACTTTAAATTGACTCTCCCGTTGTGTCTCTTTACTGTATAGAGTACAAGAACGAGGGAACGATGTTCCGAGGTATCACCTGGATTCTTTTGGATTTTTTTCCCTCATTTTACGGAAGCCTAAATCCTAGAGACACGCAAGTGTACCCTCGACAAGTCCCCCCTGCGATCCGCACAAATTTTTCCGCGAGATCTCTGTACCTCGCCGGTCTCTTTTTTCCTAAATTCGAGACATCTCGTCGTAGCTGCTTGGGGATCTACGGTGCGTCTAGCAACGAGGTGTGTTTCTGTGTGTATCCGTAAATTTTAGAGTCCGCAATTACAGAATAAAAAAGACAAAAAAAAGAAGAGAAGAAAATGGGGCGCACTAGCGCGTACGATACAAGTATTTGAGACTGTCTCCATTCGACTGCCGATTCTATCGTGATACGACCGATCTGTTCGCTAAATCTGTCCGACACGTCGCGATTTGAAAAGTCGCGTTAAATCGTCATCGCCACGCTTCGCCCTGATCCATCCATCTAGATTTTAGCGACTCGGTTAATTAACTCGCCTCTGTTCTACCGATTGTAGTCATCGACTCGCCGGAACGGAATCACTGGAACAATAAATATCAAGGGAAGCGTTCGGGTCCCATTTAGTGATCTCTATCGATTCACCGAACCGCATTACACGTCCGGTTACAGTAAGAAAATATTCACATCTCATCGAGGAGGCGAACGAAACGGCGCAAAACGATCGCAGGATTATTTCCGCTCGTACTGTTCGACTTATACGTATGTGCGTACGATATACACTTTAGCGAGTGCGAGGAGGAGAGGGTTTACGTTTTCCAGTATCGCCGGCCACCTCGGCGAGTGGCGCTACTGTAAGAATCACTTAAATAATAAAGTTATTTAATGATCGATACAGTAGGACAGCGAGTTATTATTGGGAGAATAATTCCAATCGACGGTACTCGAAGTGCTCGGGGTCCTTCGAGATCCGAAGAGTACCTCTTTTTGACATTACTTTACATCGTGTACATGCGCCGTGTACCATTAACCTCGTGCTCCCCGAAGAGAATCCCGCGTTTAAACTGGATGCAAAAATAGTACCTGTAATATCTAGACTTTGTACATCTCGCTAAACGATTACGCGACCGAGACCCGGAGGTGTCGAGAAGTGATCTTAGGTGTCCATTCCCTAGGTATGATTTTCTCTCCGCGACAATCGTCATCGCGACAAGTTCGACCTATCTATTGATAGCGTTCTTGTTTTTTTCGAATTTCTCGCTGGCGATTGCGAGAGGGCCGACGGCGCCTGGTTTGAACAATGGCTGATGACTAGGAGTCGTCGAGTCGGGTCCACATCCCTTCTGCATCTGGGCGGTCTCATAGAGCTGCTTCTGCATCACAGCCAGGGAGACTTTGTTGGAGGAGAGGAACTCCTTGATGGAGATCAGCTCTCCGGACAATCTGCGAGGAGTTTCCACCTCCTCGACCTTGTAGGAGTCCCTGGCTCCCACCTTGGTCGGCCTCCTCTTCGGGTAGTATATCGCGGACACGGAAGACCTTCTTCTGGGCAGATGAGGAGCGGCCATGCCTCGGTTGCGGTACTGCAGCCTCCAGATTATGCCGTTCAGGCCTTGCTTGATCACTATCGAGGTGACGTTCAGCAGCGAGTAGATGCAGCAGCACCCGACCACCAGGAACACGAAGTTGGCGAGCCTGTACCTGAAGAGGGGGTCGTTAAATCATTCCGCATCCTTTTTAGGAATCAGCGGCGATGTCTAAATATCCAACGCCTCGGGTCTTTCAATTTACCAATGGACGTAGGGATACTGCGGCTGCTGCGTGCTGACGAAGTCCCCGAAGCCGATGGTCGCGAAACTGACGAAGCAGAAGTACAGGGCCTCGACGTAGCTCCAGCCCTCCAGAGGGGCATAAACTGCAGCCGCACAGCAGGCGACAGCACATGACGCCAGCGACAGGTACATCATGACCCAGTAGACACTCGGTTTCCAGTGTTCGAGGCCAACGTCATCGTCGTCCAGGATATCGGGAAGTGCCCTCGCTCTTGCATTCCCCACTCTGGCGGTCCGCCTGGAGGCCAAGGTCGTCTTCTTCAGGCGCCTCTTCAGTCGCCGCAGGTGCAGGCTCCTCAAGATCCACGCGAGGAAGGTGATGATCCTTTCCAGGAAGAGGTTGAAGAACAAGATGCCCCCTTGAAGAGGAACCATGAGTTTAACCGTTTCATGCTTTAGAATCTTCCCATCTAACATTTCCTAATTCATCTAACTAATACCTTCTTGTACTGTTTTAGACCTTACCCGAGCACCCGAAGAACCCATACAGGATGACGGCGACTCTCCCGGCAGTGGTCTGCGGCGCCGTGCTCCCGTATCCTGCAACGAGGAAGGACGAATCAGCATCCGGCGACATTGTCTCCGGGACTTTAGAAAGATATCTAGGCTGCCGAGGGAAAAAATATGGGAGTAGGTCGCTGCAAGAGATATTAGCATCCTGGAATTCGTGGGCGCATTCCATGGGGACGAGGACCCTGCGGTCCAGTTATTACGCCATTGCGAACAGATTTTGCGGCCAGCTCGACATCCTTTCCTCGTCTTCCTTGTAAATTAAGTCGAGGTCAAAGGGCATGCCAATCGAGGTCGGATCGCGCCGGGAGATTCTGTAATCCTTTTTTTTTCCTCTCTCTTCTCGTCATCCCGGTGGATATATATCGTCATAAACTCGTGAAACCTCTTCTTCGGGGTCGGGAAATTTCACCGATGGATTTGGATATGTATTTTCTACCTATGGTTGACACGATGGTCCCCACGAAGTGGAAACTCCCGGGGAAGTCCCAGCGACGTCTTTTGTTGATCACCCCTGCGGTCGATGCGTTCCCGTAGGAGTAGAGCAGCTCGTGGAGACGCTGAAGAGCCTGAGGTGTGGTTCGCATGTGGTAACGCCGGAAAGTGTGGTACACTCGCCAGAATTCAGCGGCCTGAGATTACATTAAATCGAGTTAATCGTAATCACATTAATCCGCGCTGCTCTGAATTTAATCGTCGATTTACACAGTTAACTCGTGCCGCTCTAGATTGAAACCTTGAATTATGATATTAATTCATATTGCCTTGAATTCAAACAATAAATCCCGTCGATAATTCAAGGCGATCCGAATTTGTACAAAAAAATTACGGAATGGTCGCAGTTAATTAATAATTACGTTAATCCGCGCTGCTCTGAATTTAAACCTCGATTTACGCCGTTAACTCATACCGTTCTAAATTGAAACCCTGATTTATGCCGTTAATTCATCACGCTTTGAATTTAAACTGCAAATCCTGTCGATAATTCAAGCTGCCTTGAATTTAAATATCAAGTTACACAATAACCGGGATTAATTCAAGTATCGAATTGGACAGTGATCGCAGTTAACTCAAGTTGCTCCGAATTTAATAAAAAAAAATGTATAGAATGGCCACGGTTAACAAATAATTACGTTAACCCTCAGTGCTCTGAATTTAAACGCCGAATTCTGCCTTCAATTCAAGCTGTACTGAATTTGTAATATTAACCCTTTGCACTCCACGCCATCCCATTTAGACTTAAAATGTCCCCTCAGAGGGAACAGCGGAGTACAAAGGGTTAAGTTGCGCAATAACCGCGATTAATTTAAGTATCGAATTACACAATAATCGCATTCAACTCAGGTTACTCCAAATTGAAAGAAAAAAATTCCAGAATCGCGGTTAATTCAAGCTGTTCCGAGTTTAATAAAAAAACTTCAAAAATAATCGCAGTTAATTCAACTTGTTCCGAAGCATTAAATAATACAGTCGGTACATTCAAGGGGCTCCTAATTTGCAAGTTTGACAAAAGTCGCGCGGCTTTGAATTCGAATATTCTTTTCGTTTAACCCCTTAAGGTGACATGAAAGTGTGACATACACACGCCAAAAAGTGAAAACATTGATAAAACATTTTCTCTAAGCAGGGTGCGCTAAATTATCTGAAACTCTACCACGTGATTACGGAGACTCCAAGGAAGAACGCGCTGCCCGCGAAGTTTCATTTTTCGAAAAAAAAAAAAGAAATATCTTTTTTCATTCTTGTCCGGGATAAGTGGTTTTTAAAAAAAAAATGTATTCCATAAGCAGCGCGTTATTTTTTAAGGCCTCCGCAGTCGCGTGTTAGTTTCAGATAATTCGGCGCACCCAATTCGGAGAAAAGTTTTATATGGGTATTTTGACTTTTTGTTATGTACATACATATATCACGCTTTCATATCACCCTTTAAGCAATAGAATAAAAAGAAGCGGATTACCTGTCGAATCTCGAGGTCAGCCTCCAGGCTCTGAAAGAGGACGGCACCGGCGAGCATGTACGCGGCCAGGACGCCGGCGAGGAGTATGAACCTTGCGTTGTCTTCCGCGAGGCCCCCGCACACGCACATCCCCGATGACTCTCATCTCTCTGGCCGGAGCGTCCTCGTGTCCGTGTCCGAATCGCATCCCCTCTTGGCCCGCGGCCAGGAGTTCCGGAAGCGCGCAAACTCCGTTCCGAGCAGCTGCAGCTGCAGTTAATCGCGTCCATCCTGACCCCCCCTGCGCCCCGAAAAGAAAGAATTCCGATCAGAAGAGACTGCGGAAAATTTGCAAAATTTCAGGAATGACGTTCCCGGGTTGCGGTTTCTAGGGGAAAGAAAAGAAAAAAAAAAGGGAAAGAAAATCGGCTCGTACCCTGATAAAAATTCAAATTTACGTACACTTTCAGACACCTCTTGAGTGAAGCTTCACCTGGAAAAATGACAAATTAGAAAATGTATACCATACACGTAATATTGTATATTTACCGTGCGTTGTTTCTTGAATTAGATGTAAAGTTACATTAAAATTTTCATTCACTTAACATAGATGCTGAATGTGACATTACCGAGACGATGTAACTTTTTTCTGCAATTTATTGTGCCATCAAAGTAACCAGTGATTATGTCAATTTTCGTGGGCATGTTTGTCGGTGTATCGCGTGAAGTGGAATTTACATCTGACAAAAAAATGACTTGTATTTTTGAAGGAATAGGAATAGCAGAAGATGGCTTCCGTTTTGAATGGGAAAAAATTGGAGGTATTTTTGATATCATCGAAGGAGGCTGAAATTGCATCTAGGGAGTTTCTTCACACCTAAGAGAGAGAGGGAAATTTATGTAATATGATATAATTGGTGGAAGTAGAACATATTAATAGGTACGATTAGTTGGTAGATCCTCGCGAGATCAATCGCAATCTCGAATTGATTATCTATCGTGCGTGGGGGCGCGCATGCTCGCATGTGTGGGAGGGCACGATAACCCAATAACGAATCGACGGCGGCGCTTAATATTTAACGTAGTTATTCTAACTCGATCGCCTACGAGCCCCATTAATTTCGGAATCGTTTAACGAGAGGGGGCTGCCCCGATGTCCGAAAATCGGAAAGATGGCGATTCATATAGTAGGATCTCGAAGTAGCCGGCACTTCCTTCGGCGGATACGGCGAGCGGTATCTGGGGCAATCCCAAGCCTCGCCATTGAGTCGGGAAATCTTTTGAAAAAGTTAAAAATAGAGACACCTATGTACCCTCTCTCTCTTGCATTTAACTCTCGTCCTCGCGTCTTTGTAGGGAATTTTAAAGAGTCCCCCCAAAGGCGCCCAAAGTAAACTGCCGAGGATGATTGCGTAGCGATGCAGGTGCAACCCTTTACCTCGGTGAAAAGGTACTCTTGACTGCCCTCGCAGTACCTCATTCTACCTCGCCTGGATATTCCTTGTCAAAAGTGATTTTTCCTCCGGCATGACCGCAAAAGTCTACCCTCAGCGTCGATGTATCTAATTCTTCTCCGGGATGTCCGAATACACGAAGTCGATGGAGGGTCTTGAATTGATCTTGGGGGAGGAAAAGCAAAATGATCAGTAAATTCCAAAGCACTTACTCGACTCATCAAGCCTGCGGATATTCCTCGGAGACGTTAAAAAGATCTTTTACCTCCTCTCAAACATGTCGCATATACGTAGGTACACCTAAAACTGCGGACCCTGCCAAATGACTTGAAGGTGTATCCAGCGAGTTTCTTTACCTTCTCCCCGTACACAAAAAACATCGGCGACCGAATATACAGACGCAGACCTTGCCGAGGACAAGGACAGAAGGAAGGCTGTAATGAGTACATAAATCATTCTAATAAAAAATAGAGTTCATTAACAGTCATCTAGGCAAGGCTAACGGCACTACGAAGGTTCATATAAATAGATATCCTATCGACGAGAATTATAACATTCTATATATATAATATACATAAATCGTGGGCGCATAAAAATCTCGAAATTCATAACATCATACGCTAATAATAATACTAGAGGGCAATGCTTCGTTACCGCGTACTGCTTAGGAAATAAGTTATTACATTTAACAAACGTAATATCATAACGTGGCAGGTCGAGATGTGCGAAAGGAGATCATCGTGGTCCACCCAGTTAATATCTCGTTTGTGGGCCGCCCTCCTCTAATTTTCTCCAAACGACCTGCGAGGGAAACGAATCGAAGGTTTAGATTTGACTACTACCTTGTCCAACGATTCTAGGATTATTATATATATTTCGCCACCCACGTTGCACATCTCGCGGACCAGCGCTTTTTCTCCATCGTGGCCAGCCTCCCTTTCGAGCTGTTCCCTGACTTCGAGGACTTGCAAAGCCCGGACAACCGCTTCGGGCCGGCTGGTGATGTGAGGGTTCCCGTTGGGGCTGCTGGGATTTTCCCAGACTTCTCCAGGAGGTGGTTCCCAGCCCTGGGTCCTCGCCTGGAGGATGCTCTTGTCCTCTTCGAGCTGCTTGACGCGTTGCTCCAGACTCCTCACGTACTGCATGGTTTGGTCTGAAAAAGCAACGGCACCTAGATGAAAAATTGTCCCTTAAGTGCCCCATCGTTGAGCTCTCGCATCCCACCGAGTATTGTTGCGTAACGACGTAACGATATGACCATGGCAGGTAACGTGTAACGTGAAATACACGTTACATGTACGCAAATTAGACATTAGTGGTTTTTACAGATATACTATGTTATTTCAAAGTTATGCAGCTATACTTGGTGGACTTGCTGACGATAAATGTGCGAACCATTGAAGGTAGACGCGTGTCTGGTCCTCGGAGGAGCGGTCTCTTCAGCGTTTGTACTCGAGCTGGAGCCATCTCCGTCGTCCCTCTGACCTCCGCCTCTCTCCTCGTCCAGGTACAAGCACAGCTCCTTCAGCTCCAGGTTGTCCTTGATCAGTTCTTGCTGTTTATTGTCCAGCTGCCTGAGTTTGTTCTGGTAAGCCGAAACTTCCTGGCGCATCACACTCGCGGTGTATCGGCCAAACCTCTGCCATTCCCTGGCCAGCTTTCGGCCCTTCTGCCGGTCGTCGTCCAGGAAGCAGCATAGGTCCCTCAACTCCTGGTTGTCGTCGCTAAGTCTTTGGTTCGCCTCCTTCAGGGCTCGCAGCTCGCTCAGCTGGAAGGACACCCTCGTTATTCGCACCCCAGGACGGCTCGACGGGGAGATAAGTGTTAAAAAGAGAGCTCAATCACCAGACTCTGGATCTGTCGGTTCTGCTCGGCGGCGACCCTCGCGAAGTCGCTCTCGGTCTTCCTGACGAACTTGAGCATCTCCACGGGGCCGAGTCGGAGAAACTCCTCGTCGGTGATCCTGGGTCTGACCACGGTCTGACTCGTCGGAGGATACTGGCTGGTCGGCGGCAAGAAGGGGCCCTGGGAAGGCAGCTTCCCCGGGAGGTATCCGTGCGAGGTCTTCGGGTTCGTCAACGTCGTCGCCAGGGATGTCGGCAGCGTCGCGGGCTGAGAGTGATCTATCTTCGAGGGGAACTTCCCAGGTGCATCCTTCGGCTGCAACTGCGGGTATAAATCGACATCAAGATACAAAAGTAAACCAAGCGTCGATAAAAAAAAATAATCATCCTTCCCTCGCATAATTCCTAATAATCCAACCCTGAAGACGAACCGAGCGAACATTACACTTCCGCAAACAGAGTGTACCGAATCGCTTGAAATTCGGCCGCCTCACCCACGAAACCCCGCCTCCATTTTTCTTTCTCTTCAAGAATTCGTTCGTAAACATTTTAACATTTTTCCCTTTTGTAAATCGAAATTTCACGGGGGTCGGGACCTGTCTAAGGGCTCTCATATAATTGAAAAAATTCAAGCGAGTCGATTTGAGAAAGCTTGAAAAAAAAAAAGAAAACCTTCATAAACGATCGATTCTTGCGTATCGCCTTAATACGCTTTCATCCCGGCTTAAAACGTCCATTCGCAGTACCTGGCGAGGTTGCTGGCCCTGAGGAAGATTAATACCCACGGCAGGGACGCCGTTGGTCTGCGCCACGGTCGACGGGAACTGCGGATGATTCTTTAGGATCCCGACCGTAGGTTGAGGAGGCTGCGGAGGCGGCTGGTACCTCGGTGGCACCTGGTCCACGGGTTTGATCACGTGCGCGGCCGGATGCTGCTGGAGCTGCTGCTGCTGCGGCTGCTGTTGCTGCTGCTGGGACTTATTCTTATTGGACATCGCGGCTAATTTAGCTCCGGGCTGCGCCGCGTCCCATTTCATAAAATCCGCCGGTATTCCACCGCGTGCGAGCGCGCTCGCCGACCCGCTCGGATCTGGGTCAGTCCCCGAGGTCTTGGGTCCTCTCCGCGTTCCGGCTCTTCCCTCCCTCCTCTTCTCTGCTCTCTATTCTCGAGGAACGGACTCTTCCTCCCGTGGGCCCGAACCGGGTTTTCACTCCGCGTCCGACTTCGATCGGGAGTTCAACCTGCTCCCTCTTCCAGGTCCCCGACCCGGTAGGGCTTCCGCGACCGGCTTAGCCCCAGGTCGCTCCTCCACTCCGACTCAGCCTGTAATTCACAATTATCCGTGTCACGTGATCCGCCTAGAATAATTCGCGATTAATCGCTCCCCCACGAGCCCGGTTGCCAGTAATAATGTACATAGCCGCTCGATCGCTCCATTGATAATCATAGACATTGATAAAACGGCACAAAATTCACTCATCCACGTCGCGTTTACCCTTTAAAATAATTAATAACGACTAATCGTTTCCTTAGGATAATTTTTTTTTTCATTCACTAAAAATCTCGCTCGACCGGTCGACTTGTAGCCGCGGATACATTCGTAAATCGGCACAAAATTCACAGTTACCCACGTCGCACAATTTCCCCTTTGAAGTAATTAACGACGATAAATCACTCCTCTGGGGCCAGTTTTCTCTTTTCCTGCCCTGAAAGTTTCACGCGACTGAGTGATTTTTGGCCGTATTCGGAAATTGGTAGAAAAAGAATGAACAAATGTTTAATATAATAATTATGTCATGCCTTTGGATAATTTTCTTTTTTTTTTTCTTTCGGGAGAATTATAGCGTGATTGTTGATTTCCGGAAACTCGTAATATCCACGTGCTCTTAACGAAACACCACCGGCCAGACGCGGAAGTCGGGCGTCGCGACGCCGGGTGGAATTGCGGTAATTTTAGAGAAGCCGCGTTAAAAAGGGACAATTGAGGGCCGAGTTTAGTACGGCGATGAACGTTTTCCCATGGCACACCCGAGATCGACACGTGGAGAGGAAACAGGCCGACATATTGACCGGTGGAGGTGCGTGCACTCCTCGGTCTAAACCTTCTTGACTTACACCGGGCAGATAGCATTTCAAAAATGGCGACACGACCGCGGAGAGAGGGAACGCCGTGACGAGGACAATCCTTCAGTACGGAGACCAAGAAAGACGAACTTTTCCTCGGAGTTTGAAACCCGCGCCGGCGCATAAGAACCTCGAATATTAACGCGCGTCGGCGTCGTCGAGAGATCTCGACATTCTCCATATTCCCGCAAAGCGCGCTTCCTCGACAACGACACAACCGTTACACCGTTAATTAACATAACTTACGCGAAACGCGTTCACAAAAGCCAACATAACAATTCCCTCCGCAGTTACGCAGTTATAAAAGGACTAACTTAACCCGCGCATAACATATCATGCCCATATTACGTTACATTAATAATAAACAATGCCATAAAGAATATCATTTGTTAGGCATTGTGTTATTTCGATGTTATACAAGACGCGCTTGGTGGTTTATATCGAGACGGGGTCCGAAGGCGGCCGTTTACGCTGAAATTTTTCGAAAATTCTCCTAAATAAGGGCAGGAAATCGTGGAAAACTTCGCCCCGTGAACGTCCCCGTATATTCAGTACCTGAGGAATGTGAATTCGATTAAGCGGCGCCTCATTTATTCCTCAAAGAGGGGCATTTTAATTCTTACTCACCGCCCGGCCAAAAAAAAACAAGATGGCGGCGCGACGCGTCACGTGGTACGCGTGGGAGCCGTCAAAGCGTCTCGCACACCTACCCCGAAAGGTTGATTTCTAATCCGTAAAAGATCGTCCCGGTGCCCGGGGCTAGTCCTGGGGGTATTTCGGACGATTCCACGTGATAACGGAGGATAACTCGAAGCTACTTTCGTCGATAGACTCGCCAGGTAAAAACTCACTTACGAACCTCCTCAAGAATGCGCTGACGCACCGTTGTTTACGCCGCAGGCGCTCTTTCTCCGCACGAGTCGCACATCGAGTTGACCAGGAATACCTGAAGCACGAAACGCAATCCCTCGTGTCTAGTAATCCAAGGTGAGAAGAAAAATCCCAGGAATAAGCATTCTGTTAAATTCCCCGCTAACCCCTTTATCAGAGCTGCAAGACTTTTCCCCCTCCCCTCGAGCCCAAGAATTCCAAAAACAGAGCCTGAAAATTCCAAGCGACAATCCCGGCAATAACACCCGGTGCCCCGAAACAAAAGTCCCTTTATCCGCGTCAAGACAAGCCCGATGGAGTGCGTTATCTATTTCCCCGGATTTGTTCACGGTAGAGCTATTAATTGCCCCCAAAAGCCATGGGCTGTCAACACCGGTTGGCGTTGCAGCGATTTAAACATATGCCATGTGACGGGTCGACCGCCATCTTGTTTTTCCTCCCGGCGCTTCCAGAAGCGGCGAGCGACCGGGACCCGGGCGACCTCGAAACCGGCGCCTGGGAGAGGGACCAGGGTGCAGCTCACCCGGAAAGCAGCGATCGGCGTCTTCGGCAGCATGGGGTACCATGGCCGGGCGTTGGCGAGTGGATATGGAGGCGCTTCCTACGGGAAGATCGGGGTTCGGAGGCTGGGTGCTCGTCAATGGGGCAGGTCGACGGGTCCTGCGACTCCAGGGCACCCGATCAGCTCAGGTGCGCGAGCTGGCCCGGAACGTGGCGAGGTCGGCGCGAGAGGGGACTCGCGAGCGCGCGCGGAACATGGCGACCATGGCGACGCGGCGGCCGAGCGTCTGGCCCGATCGCGCCCGACGCCGAGTCTTTAACGCGGACGCAGCGCCGCGGGAATGCGAGGACGCGATTGGCTGCAAGAGGCCCGGGAGGCCCTACCGGCCGGCCTGCCGCGACGCGGGCCCAGAGGAGAGGTAGGGCCCTGGTCGCTTTCGGTCGTCGGATGGAGATGGATGGAATTCGTTGAAAATTTATGGAATTCCATGAAAATGGAAGGAATTCGATGAAAATTTATGGAATTCCATGAAAATGGAAGGAATTCGATGAAAATTTATGGAATTTGATGAACATGGATGGAATTCGATGAAAATGGAAGGCATTTGATGAACATGGATGGAATTCCATGAAAATTTATGGAATTCGATGAACATGGACGGAATCCGATGAAAATGGAAGGAGTTCGATGAAAATGGAAGGAGTTCGATGAAAATGGAAGGAGTTCGATGAAAATGGAAGGAATTTGATGAAAATGGAAGGAATTCGATGAAAATTTATAGAATTCGATGAAAATGGATGGAATCCGATGAACATGGATGGAATTCAATGAAAATGGAAGGAATTCGATGAAATTTTATGGAATTCGATGAAAATTTAATGTTCGATGAACATGGATGGAATTCGATGAAAATTTAATGTTCGATGAACATGGATGGAAATGGATAGAGTTATATAGATTCGATATAAACAGAAATAAATTTTCCCAGGTGAATCCCTGAGAACGAAAAGCTGCCTCGCCTCTCTTCATCTAAAATGAACGATGAATCCAAGATTTAACGGAAAACCTTAGGACTCGACCCGAAGAGCCTCTTCCTAGAGGAAGCCTCGAATTCATGGAATGTCGGCCCTGGCGCCTACATCTCGGTGTACCCACCTGAGAGAATGGAGAGCGGGAGAAGGGCCGGCTACACTCTGACTCGATAACTGGACCGTTCCTCGGGGTTACTCTCCTTTCCCTTTCCCTAGATTTCGGCAGATTGTCAATAAGCGATGGCAATTTTGCGGAATAATTCACGAATCGTTATCATTTCAAGATATATATTGCCAAGGTAAGAGGGATATCGAGGCTCGCCGGGAGATATCTCCTGGATTTCGAGTCGAGTCACCTTGTACCGAGGCGAGCCAGGTGCGTAAGCGGCGCCCTGCTCGGAAGGGGCGTCTTCCATAGAAGAGGCTACCTGCTCCCGAGTATCAGGTGGAACAGGTACGAAAAGATGTCTCGGTCGTCCCCTCTGCCCCGTGGGAGCGACCCTCCACGGGTACCTCCGTAATCCTCCTCTTTCGTAGCTCTCATTCATCGATCCGTTCCCCTTGCAGGGATGCTGGGATTCCTTAACCTGGGATTCGAAATCCCGATACCTCTCAAGGCGTCCCAAATGGCGCGAGTCCTTCCTGCATCCGTTCCCCTTGCAGGGATACTGGGATTCCTTAACCTGGGACTCGAAATCCCGATGTCTCTCAAGCCGTCCCAAATGGCGCGAGTCCTTCCTGCACTTTCACCGACGAATCGACCGGGGCATCCGGCAAGTTTCCTGGAAGCAGAAAAAGCCGGGATCACGTAATCGGCAGACAATGGTTTCATTGATCATGGATTCGGTGATTTTACCTGTCCAATATTTCAGCCAGGATTATTTCGGACCCACTCCGGGCGCCTCCGCCTGGTCGCGCCGCACCTGAAAGAGGCAGGCAGCGGATCGGAGGTTTGCTCTCGTTGGCCTCGCGCCATTTAGCCGACTCGCCCAGTCGATGGCCGCCTAAAAAAGCCCGGCTCCCAAAGGGCACTTCCCCTGTCCCTGCGAAACAACGAGAGTGACGTCGCTTAGGCCGATCTTGCTCGCTCCACCTGGTCAGACGGCCAGGAACCGCACGGTCTAACGCACCTCCCGCGACGAGGGCACACGGTGCGCAAAACGCGGAACAACGGTATCCGTGAAAGGTCAACGTATGCCGGGCCATTTCACCGCACGTTACATTTAAATCGCGCCTCCATTCCTTATAACGACGGAGCACGGTGCTAACGAGCAGTGTCGGGCGAAATTCGATAAAAAATCAAGCCGTTAGACATTGATAACGTACTCCTAGTACCTCGTTACTCGCGGGTTACGAAATTCACGTTTAACGTCTCTGCGGCATGCGCGTATGTGACGATTAACGCCGTAAAATGAACAGCTAGCCCTATTTAATTTGCTCCTTCCTTTATTATGCATACTGCAGGGCCAACACAGAATTAAGCTTAATCCTTAGTTACATAAACCGACGGGAGGTCGTAAACCCCCCGACGACGCGAGTCGTCCTCGTTAATAGCAGGCCCCTAATTAAGTCGACATTCACGAGATAGATTTACAGGTCGCGGTGACTCCTCGCGCAGGAGCGCTCCTTTGTATCTTACCGGTGTCTTTCGCTCCTTATCACGTTTCGCAAAGAGTCACCATATCGCGTTCCCGTCAACGACCGGCGGAAAATGAAAAGAGCGCCGCCGTATGTCGCAGTCTGCTCACCCGTATTTCATAAAATAACATATCTACGTTAGGACAATCCCGACGCCGCGCCTCGGGGCTGAGATCGGACCTTAGGGTAGGTTAGTTACGCATTATTCGCTACGTCTTACGAGATGTAAGGTGTACTTATAGGTGTGAAAATAAACGCTCCATTCTTTACATAGGCGCGACAGTACATTTCATGATGTGCCTTCCGTACCCACGGTGTAAGAACTCCATTAAAGTATTAATCCGGCGGCGAAGGGTATTCGCTTTCTCCTCTCCGCTTAGTAATGAAATCGGAGAAAAGTTTCGATTCTACGCAGAGGTAGGACCTCGAAGCGAGGAGTCGTTGCGCCTGAGATCAGGAGGCCTCTTCGTGGGGTTCTTCAGGTTCTCCAGGTTCTCCGGGTTTCCCCGCAGAGGGGGTAAATCCGCGTTAAACCGCCCCGTACTCTTCGCTGGAGGGGGACTCGTCGCTGGGAGGCGGTCTCGGAGGTCTTGGAGGTCTCGGAGGTCTATGGTGGTGAACCGCGGCTGGGGGCCTCCTGGGAGGCGGTGGAGGGTGCGCCCCGTATGAGGTGTCGTCGCCTTCCTCGCTGCTGGGCGAGGGCGAGGGTGCTCGGTCCTCGTGGTCTTGAAGAAGCTGCCGGAACTCCTGGATGGACTCGTTGAGGGACCAAAGCTGGGAGAGCAGCGACAGGTCGAGCTGCCTCAGGCCGAACTGCAGGAGGCAAAGACCATAGTTAATACCCGAAGAGAGTAGTAATACGATATTACGATACAGAGAAAACGCTCGGCGCGATATACGTGGGCTTATTTATACAGGTCGTGGGAAAGGAGGCGAGCCTTCGACGCCAGAAAAAGCATATCCTCGCCTCGGAAGTCGGCCAGACTAGAACGCAGTTCGTTCGCGAAAGAGGTCAGCCTCTCCGAAGGCTCCCTCATAATCCATTCATAAACCCGATAAATAATTTCCGGCAGTATTTATCGCGATTACCCGGACTGGCCGAGGCAAGCCTCGAGTGGACGTCTCATGCGCCGACTGTATTGCTTGCTCAAGCTCGATATAAAAAGAATTTCCATCGGTACTGTCAAAGGTTAAAACACTTTTAGTGAGTTCCCGTTGACGTTGCACTATATCGCCACGTTAATCCGGCCTGTGGGAAAGGAGCTAAGGCTTTGGTAACAGGCGACGAAACCTCGCCTCGCTTTAAAGGTCGGCCAGGTTAAGGCGTGATTTATTCGCAAAATACCGCTACTGCAATTTTCATCGAGCCCGTTTCGCAATGTGCCATTTGCCGTGCTGGAAGCGAGACCGGCCAACGATGCATTCGAGGTGTACATAAAAAGTAATACATACATTATACGTATACTAAATGTATGATATGCGTAGGTCAGGAATTATTAGGACGATCGGACGTCAAGAATTTCCCGATAAATCGAGGCTCTGGGAATGGCGCTACCAGCTCGGCAAAGGCTAAAGACCGGGGGAACGTGATTTATCCTTGAAAAATAATGCAAACGCTCGGTTGTTTTGACGTGGCGGCGCGCCGTGGGGATCCCGTGGGAACTCGGGGGAGTCGCGGAGGGGACCGCGACGACGCCGGCCAGGAGACGGAAAGGAGGTGGAAAGGAGAGGGCGTAAACTGAGAATAGGAATGAGAAATGTGAGCGCAAAGGAGGAGAGGGTCACGCCTGAGGGAATGCGGCGTGGGAGCGGCCCAGGAGTAGTCACTCCGCGTCTGGATTGACCATCGGCCAGGATCCTTAAGGTCAGCCAGGATCATTGATTCCAGTTTGGATAGTTGGTCCAGGTTATATCATTGGATCTATCCAGAGAGCGACCAACGTATGCGGCACTACTCCGGCACTTCACGGTACTCGTTTTTCACGGTGCTCCCTTTTCCTGGGGAGTAAATAAATAATCATTAATTTCTGCAGCGTCGGAGGCCACTCGAGACGGCGCCAAGGTGAGTTCTCCCGGGAGACACGGTTGGATAACCTGGATGATCCGGGGTCCGGATCTGGATATCCGATTCCGGATCAGCACCTCGGGAAATAAGCGACGAGGTTGTACACAAAGAAGAAGACGAGAGAAAAAACGAGTCCTCCCGCTAATTCACGGACGCCTCTAAGGCCTCGGAACTTTCCAATCGTAACGTGGAATTAACCGTTACATCTTACGCACGGCGAAGAGTCGGAAAGAGGGTGGAGGGGGTATAAATAAGCCACGTAAGGAGGTTTAGGAGAAAGTGCGACGCGGCTCTAGATTCACCATTTCCCTCCTCAGGATGGCAAGCTGGGTGTCCAGGGTGGTCAGCTGTCTCGCCGGTGGCGAGGGTCGTCCGGTCGACTGCGTGGGCGTCTTCGAGTTCCTCTGGGACTTGCTCGAAGACCTCGTCGGGGGTGGCGGGGGTTCTCCACCTTCCCTCGTCACGTTCAGGTTGAACCCGCTCAGACTCCTCGGCAACGGGGGCAGACCTTGAAGAGAAGACATCGCGATCCTCTCCTTTATGCTGAAACCAAAGAGCGCGCGAGAATGAGCCATAGCGAACCGACCAGAAATAACGATTAGCTAATTATCTTTAAAAGAAAAAAAAAAAAGTTATTAATATCCGCCGCATTTCCCTGCGCTATCTGCGGCAAGCTCGAGACAAACATCCCCGGATGAATCATAAAAGTCGCATGCACTTACGTTGCGCACATTCTTGTCGGATCATCGCGGACGCTCTTATCGGGTCGAGAACATCGCCGTATACATTTCCGAGTACATTCATGACTACATACGCCCATGTACATCGGGTGGCCCTATAACTTCAGCATTTCCAAGATATTGCCAAATTTCAACGGATCCAGGGCAAGTCCTTGAGCAGTATCACATCTCTACGTTTAAAACGAATTATCTCTATAATAAGTCGATTTTTCTGCCCAAATAAACATTGTAGAGGAGATCGAGCCCGAACGGACGAACCGTAACAAGTGGCATTTTCGACGAACCACCCTCGAGATATCGAGACTCAAAGTGGGAGAACGCGACGACTCGCTTACTCTCGCGCTTCGAATCAACGAGCGTGACAAATGGCGGACAATTTACGTAATAAAGTTCCTCCGGGTGCGCACGACTTTTAACGCGAGGATTTCACGTAGTATCTCAGTGTTTGGACCACTCTGTACGCGCACAATTTGCATGCAAGGAGATATACATACGAAAGGCATACCGTTACGGGGTGCTCCGCTAAAATCGATCGAGTGGTCGTGTAAATGACGATAACGTCATTGACACACTCTCAGCGATGACTCACGTCCTAACAGCTATCTATGTCGAGCGGAAAATGATTCCCAGTACCTAGCACCAATTCCGGGGACTCCTGGAAATCGAGTGATTACCCAGAGTGCGCGGAATCGGCGCCGGCGATTTCCTCGGTATCCTCATCAAGGTGCGACAAGAGATCAAGCGTTCGCTTCGGCTCCGCTCGACAAGAGCAGCACTTACTTCTGAAGCAATTAACCCGCCGTTTATTAGTTCCGCGGAAAGGCAATTCGGCATGACGCGAAAACTGCGATTATCATCCACCAGCCTCGCGGCGATTTCCCGCCGTTCCTCAGGGTCCTTAAAAGTGGTCCCGACATTTCCAGCACAGTAACGATGCTCTCTCCGAGAAGAGAAATACCCCAAGTGAAACTCGACTAAATCACGGATACCAATTCACGTACGGTTTAATAATTAATTATTAATTATTCCCTTAAAATGCTATTAGGCTTATCCGCATTTTTCGGCAACGAGTATACCTTACGCCCAGTTACAAGGATGATCACAGTAATCCGCGCAATGAGAGCCCGAAGTACGGCGTATCGCGACTTCCTCGCAGGCCCTGCATTTATCCTGCATTAGCGAGGCATTTTTCCCGTTCGGCTCGAATGCGCCTGACGATCATCCTCGAGCTAGGCTGCAACGATCTCCGGTTTGCGTTATTTTTACACCGCGACCAATCCGCGACGAGGCTGGTTTCCCTTGAGCGGTAGAAACGCTCGATGAGTAATGGCAACGTCTTCAAGAAATGGCGTCTTAGAAGGCATCCATATACCGTACGTTATTACACATAAGCACATGTGGATACACGTCGATACGCGTTCATACGCATTCATACGCGTTTATACGCGATTCTACGCATTCATAGACGTTCATACACGTTCACATATATTCATATACGTTAATATACGTAGAGACCCGCAAAGATGTCAGCGTTCTCAAAAGCAAACCGCATTAGTTTTTTATAAATCGGCATGAAATCCGCCAACAGAAGCAGGAGGCGGAATTTCCCGCACAGGCGGAAATGACGCAGAGAGCTAGGTCGATAGACGGCGACCCAGAAGCAATCTAAATTATAGACGCGCAAATCGAGCGTGAATTTCAGGGCCCGACCTCGTCTAGGTCCCTAATGGCTTATTAGTTATGCTCGAGGATCCATCGTCACGGTGCGTTCCGCCGAGAGAGCGATACCTAGAAAAGTCGACCTCGTCGAAGTCGTCGTCGAGTCGGTTGAACCCGTTGACGCGTTCGTCGTCCCCGGGGATGGTGATCTGCGTCGAGGAGTACCTGACGCCAGCCTCGAGCCAGTCCTGATGGTGGATGTTGTCGCCGTCCTCGAAGAGGACCTTGCGCTCGGGTTCGTCGACGACGACGACGGTGGCGCAGGTGACGTTGCTCAAGGAGGGCGAAACCGGGACATCCTCGTCGGGAGTCTTCGGGGCTTCCAAGGGCTCCTTCGTCCCAGGATGGTCGACTCTCCTCAAGGGGAGCTCCGACTTCGAGCCAGACCTCTGAGAGGGAGTGGGTCTCTGCGAGGTCGCTTCGGGACTCTCGTCCTTGCCCCTAGCCACCCTGTTGAGGCGAGGCTTGGGAACTGCAGGTTTCGAGGTAGAGGTGGAGGAGTCCTCCAGGATGCTCGGCCTAGCTGGTACCGGAGGTTTCGGCAGGTTCGCGCGACCCTGGGGGCTCTTCGCGACCTCCTCCCCCGAAGGTGCCTCCAGAGGTGTTCTTCCGGCATCCTTGACGATCCCGGTTTCCACCTTGCTCCCCATCTGGGGATCCTTCTGCTGGACCTCGATCGCCTCGGTTTCCTCGGGGTCTTGCGAGGTTTGAAGAGCCTGTAAACCCTCCGACTCGTTCTCAGCCTCCCTACTGGTACCCGAAGGCAGTTCCTGGTCGCGTTCGGGTTCTTCGCTCGGTCGCCCGGGCGAACACCCCATAGAGTCCTTTCTTTCCCTGCCGATGCTGTCCGACCTATGGTCCAGCGTCTTCTCCTCGTTCTCCAGAGTAGTTGCCGAAGAGTCCTGTTTCTCGACCTCGCAGGAGTCATTCTCCTTGATGGACTCGTAGACGACGGTTCTGCCGGCCGTTTCCCCAGAGTTCTCCCTCGCCCTCCAGGGTTTCGTGTTCGGTGGTGGAGGCGCCTGTCTTGTGGGGCAGGGTGGCCTCGGGGACCGTTTCATGGCCTCCGCCACGACCTGGCGGCTCGGCCTGGGCGGCACCGGCGGCGGATGCGGCCTCTGCGACGTGGCCAGCTGCATCCTGGAGTCCTAGGATAAATTTATTCCCGACTCACCGTCATTCACCCTGGTGGATTCCTAGACGTTCCTCTCTCCTATTAAGAGATTCCCGTGAACGGTTTCTATGGCACTTTTTTCCCTCCCAGGGCGCGACCGTTCCAACTCGAGCGAGTCCTCCGTCATCGGTCTCCGCTTTTGGATCTCGATTTCCCCGACTGCGAAATCCTCGCTTTCTTTCCGCCTTCCTCCAGGTTCTGCATCGTCCGCTCGCGCGTTCACCTAGGTTCACCAGAGTTCGCACTCACCGATCCGTGCACAATTGCGATCATTCCGGTTAACGCTCCTCCTGTCCTTGAGCCCGACTTCGTGGCTCCCTACATCCTCTTCAATCGGTTCCCCTTGAACTACGTGGGCAGGTACCACTTCGACGCAGTTACTCTTCCGCTCTTCACTTCGTCCCACCGACAGCGACCTGGAGGTCGCATCGTAAACCCTTCCTCATCACTGAAAGGTTAGCACCAAAACAAAACCGCCGTATGAGCGCCGTTCACAGGTGGGACCACGTGATCTGGTACCCTCTCTTCATCAGGTGGTTCCCAAGGTGCTCTGCGCCCTCTTCAAGGTACACCCTCCCACCGAAACTGACGAGGAAAAAAACGAGCCTTATCTCTTATCACGAGAGTCGGGAGGAAAACCGATAAAAGCCTTCTTCTTAATCAGTCCCTGATAAAAATCCTGGCTCAAAGTCGGTAAATCCGGACGTCGGTGTCCTTGGTACCGGACTCTCGTACCAATCGATACATTGGACGTCCACCCGCTGGCCTCTTCCTCGTCGGAGGACCAGCATCTAACTGAGCGCGCGATCTCGTGTACCACGATAGTGGGTGGTGGGACCACGTGACCGCCGCTCCTCCCGCTCTTCGCATCAGGTGGGTCCGCGGTAGATTTGCTAAAATCGCAGCCTCTTCCGCTGGACCATATCCCGGTGGTCCATCGGGCGCAAGAAGAGTCCCCTCTCGAAGGCGAGCGATCGGAACCTCCTCCGTGGCGAATCGATGTATCCGGAGGTCGGACCGGGCACGTCCTCCCCGCGCCGGCACCAACGACGAACTGAGCCCGCGGCCGCGAGCGGCGGACCACGTGACCGCCTCTCGTCCTCGGGCATCAGGTAGCTCCGGTGCGTTTCTCATTCCGCGGCAGCGGCCGAGCTGGGTAGGTATATATACATCGCTATCTCGGCCTATCGCTATAGGGTATCGCGTGAGAGGCCGGGCGACGGAGGGGGCGCATCGAGGTGGGGCGTCGAGGGAGAGAGAAAGAGAGGGGCATACGGGAGGTCAGGCCGAGGGAGAAGGACGGACGACAGAAGGGGCCATTAGTTGACCCCTCTACCCGCGGCCCGCGCTAACAGTGACGCCAGGGACGCAGTCGACGCGGGTGTCGTCGCTCCTGCAGGTTCCTCAGGGCCGCAATCGTAATCTCGGGTTACACAGTCGCCCAGTCGGGTCGCACAGATTTTTTGGAAAAAAAAAACCCGCCAAAAAAATCAAATTTTTTTATGTAAAAAAACATTAGAACATTGTCTTGGCAAAAAAATAAAATTCTCGATTATATTCGAGGGTGAAAAATTATAGTAGCATAAAATACAACGCCGATCGAATCATCTCAAGTGTGCACAGTTTGGCCTGTTTAGCGCGCTCGAATTAATTCCTTATTTGAAAATCGATTGCCTTACGTTTCATCCGATAGACAATGCCATTCGATAATAAGGGACGTTCGTTATAAAAATGTTAACACATCGGCGGATTTGAATCTTCAGTTAATCAAATTAAATATCTTTAGGCGCAACGGGAATTCTTGGAATTCGGCTCAAAATTGTAGTTGTAGATATTTCTGTTTAATCGCGATTGAGGCTACCGGTCTTCGTCCTGAGGGAGGATAATAGTAAAATGACTCGTATCGGGAGATCTTTGAAGGACTAGCAGGTATTCGCAGGTGTAACTGGAAGCGTCATACCGGAAGTCGTTAATCTCGCTCTTGTGCGATTAAACTATCTCTCTATCTCCAGTTTAGTCATTTAAGCAACTGCCATGCAATAAAGTTAATTTTCTTTTCGCCCAGTCGGAACGATTTAGAATTATTCGACACCCCGAGGGGTATCGGGCATGTTAATCGGGCGCGCTCGTCGAGCAGCCGAGTTAACGGGAGTTTAGGAGAGCGACGCGTGCCTCTTCTCCCGTGTACTCGATTTTCGGTCAGCTCCCGTCGCGGGCCGGTCGTTTCACGACGCACTCTCGACCGTAAGGATCTCGAATTACGCAACCTAACAATAGGCTCGGGCCGAGAGCACTTCGCGAGTTTGCTTTCCCGCACGCCGATTAATCGGCGCGCGCTCGTGTTTTCGCAACGATCTGCCGCCGCGATTATCCCGGCTTATGCAATCCCCGAGTTGAGCCTCGCGCCATTTTTCAGGAAACTCTCTTAACGGGTGGCCGTTAAATCAGCTGTACCACTCCTTACCTGAGAACAGACGAGTAGGAATAAACGGTACACTGTATTGACTGGTACTTTAAATTTTCATTAAGAAACACGGTAGAGTTCCGCGCCAAATTCTGATCTAGCCATTATCTGCGACTGTTTAGCCTGGCGCGTCAAGCATGACAAAGAAAGTCGTTTTCTGAACCTCTTGAATGAGTAATGTCAATTTTAACCGGGTCATCGAGATTGGACTATTTCCCAGGGTTTTTTAAGCTACGAACAAAACCTACCGGTACATTTAATACAGAGATATGCAATTTTTAATATTTCACTTCGCTTGGGTTGCTCGACATTATTCCATCGATTTGTAATTTTTGTAATACTTGATAAAGGGAAAAAAGAAACGGAAGGTAGAAATGGATACCAAACCGTCGTCACAGTTGTAAGGAATGCTATCGTCTATCTGTACCGGAGATTGTTTTAGTAATTACTTCACTTGGGGCTACACTGTAAGCGATGTTTCCATTCATCCGCTTCATCCCCGTGTGAATGAATAGAATGTGTTCCCCAGATTAGTGTCATCGTTCGCACGGTGGCTCGAGATGCGGATTACGATGGAGTTACCGCACACTCGATGTTGGATAGTTGCACTCGTGTCTTTTGATGAAGTGTACATAATCTTCGGTGTTCATTAATCTATGTATACTCGGAGTGGAGTACAGTCGAGTCAAAGATCGGCGAGCGTGACGCTTGATCGTTTCTCAAATAGAAAGACCGTAAGAATTTCGCTTCACCTGTTTAAATAATTTTTTTTATCCTTCCTTTCTATGGTGTATTGGACGTTCGAGATTACCTGTTTAAGAACAGCATGCTGACACCTGGAGGACGACTCGGGAACCAGCTACTCTTTGAACTTCCATTCCTGACGACACATGGGACACAAGTGACTGGTCTGCTGGGAGTGAAGCCACTTCATGATGCAGTGGATATGGAAGCAATGGGAGCACTGGCCCCACACTGAAACAATGTTAAGAGCCGGTCTCTAAAACGGACTTAGACCGACGAGGAAACGAACGAAACGAGGAGCGCGAGCACCTGGTGGCGTCCGCGAGCCGGCGAACTTGCCTCTTGCGTACGCTTCCGCATACAGATGCGCTTTTCTGGGTGACTAACCTGACCACGGGGGAAAATCGTACCTACGAGTCGTCTGGCATACCCGGCGATCGATATTCCGCGGCGCTCTGCGCAGATGCGGCGCTGACCTATCTCAATGAAGATAATTTAGGGGACGCGAAATGCGAGACCACCCCCGAACACTGCTCCGCACTCTTGTGGTCAATTTCACCAACATCGAGGAACTCATCGATTATCTAACTGTATGTAAATAGTAACGCATAACTCATGGTCATCGAGGATTAACTTGTCGATCGAGGTTGGTGAAACCTGCCTTAGACTGGGTTACGATTAGATAAAAGTCCTTACGTTATTACATATTTATGATATGCCAGGGTAGTTAATTTTTTAAAAACATCTACGATGCAGTCCTTAGCCCAGTAGTCATGCATTTTACATGGACACCCTGTACGTCCTTTAATGTTTGAGAATAATTAATGTACCTAGGGGGCAATCATCGCCAGGAATTTTGCAGTCAGGGCAACTTGCGTCAAAAGGCATGCGGCAAATACCGCAGTTGTCATCGTTGGCGATCCACCGCCAGGTGGCGACGCCGGTCCAACCTGCGGTGTGGTAGAATTGTTAGGTTAGGATATGCATTGGATACTATTGGTTTAGCACGAGGTTAACTACCTCTTGACACGACTTCTACGTGGATTCTACTAATTCTTTGCCGAGCAGTGAATCATTTCTAATGTTAAAATATAATATAAATAGTATACTGATTGATAAACAATAATACTGTTATGACAGGGATATAAATGCTGACTTACTCTTTATGGTAACTTTCATGTTTATATTGCATACAAACAAAAATCCCAGATATATGAGTTTTACGGTTGATGCGAGAATGACTTAGAGAGAAACTTTCGAGTTTGAGAAACTTTTAGAATGGTTGAAGGACGACCTGTAACCCTTCGAAATAACTTGCCGACTGTAAATGAACCGACTTCATGCCGGCTTTCTTTACCGACCGTAAAACGGAAAATTCAACGCAGATGGGATCATCCAACAAGGGATTTAGCGACAAGGCCAGTGCTGTCCTCGCAGATAGCTCGGGAACTTTGTCCATGAATCTGTTTTACTGATGAAAGATGTATGTACCGCCATCGCGAGTGCGCGAGCTCCTATCGGAAATTCGTTGCGCCGCCCTTGGGGGCAAAAAACGGTGAAAGCTAACGTACGAAACCAGAGGGCAGCACAGGATGCGATCGCACGATCCTACGCGTGAGCAATCTCCCAACTCATCTCTGATTCAAATCGAAACATCCACGAATAAAACGATGAATGATGAGGTTTATCAGAGAGAAGATGAGACTCACTATCCCCGAACATCTAATTAGGCCCAGTTTACAACTCAAGTTAAACTTCGGTTAACTCGAGTTGTAAACTTCGGTTAACTCGAGTTGTAAACTTCGGTTAACTCGAGTTGTAAACTTCGGTTAACTCGAGTTGTGGAAACGGACCCAAGTTTCCACCGGTATTTATTCGATACTGAATTTGATAAATACCGATGATGGAAACGGACCCAAGATTCCACCGCCGGTATTTATTCGATACCGGATTTGATAAATACCGATGGTGGAAACTTAATACCTTGAACAAAGAAAAGACCTGCGTGCACGCATGCATATATGAGTCTATGTAAATGAATTACGACCGTGCTTTATCTTCCATCTTCTTGGAAAGGACTCGGGTTAACAGTTTTTTGCTATTTACTGAAATTATTGAATAATAGACATTAACGGACGTTGACCATGAGTAATCTACAGTAAGTGTTTTACAATAGCAATAAATTTATGCCTTTTATTCCTTTAGTACACACAATCTGGTATGTTAACAGTTTCCTGAGTTAAGTTTGGTCGGTATAACAATCAAAAAGTATTAAATGTTTTATTCGCCAAATGTTGGGAAACAAAATAATTCTAAACATTTCATAGTAATAAAATATAATGCACCAGTATTAGTTAATTCATTTTGATTGAACCCTTTCCTTTGAATGTCCACCTTTGTTAATCGAATACTGTTTAGAAATTCCTCAGAGAATTAATTTTACGGGTTTCTGTAAGTTAAGCTTTTTATTAAAAAATGTAATGTAATTGTTTTATGTGTCAGGATGAATGAAGGATGGGAAAGCGATGGAGAGTCGGAAATAGTTAATGCAGTTACGTATTCAAATCAGGGACGCTACGGAGAAAGGAATCATGATAGTAGCCAGTCATGGAATAGGCAGAGCCAAGATCACTATAGCAGTAGTTTTAACTCCAGGTTGAATAGTCATAATTTTAATAATGAAGGATACAATCATGGTGGTCCGTAAGGAATAGTCGACAATGAGTATGATTCTAGAAACAGAGGAAACCGTGATGAAAGGAATAATTTTAACTCGAGAGATCGAAGCAATCGAGGTGATAATCAGCGAGAAGGAAGAGATGAAGGATTGTTGATGTATGTTGATTCGAGTAAAATAGGCAAAATCATTGGCAGAGGTGGTACTAAAATTAGAGAACTCCAGGACCAAAGTGGTGCCAGAATTAATGTAAGTGTTTTCAGGTACTTGTTAATACGCTGTACTTTCTTTGATTAGGACTTAAATGTATGTATTGAATACTTTACTTTTTTTTATTGTAAATGGTTTTACGTTGTGGCAGATCGACAGGTCATCCAACTCTAGCAGCACAGGCGTTAATTTAATTGGTTCATCCGAAGCACAACAAAAAGCCCAAACCCTAATAAATGAATTATTGGATGACAAACCGTATCAATCGCAGAGAGAAGAATCAAAAGAAGTTAAAGAGAAAGAAACTCAAGATATTGATTTCAGTAATTTTGATTGGCAAAAAGCTAGTGGACAATATGTAAGTATATACACTGTTGCAATAAAAGATGTATTTGGTATCGAAAACAGAACTAAATTATAATACATCCAAAGTAATTGACTTCTTTATATATAATTATATTTTTGTACCATACATAATTTATTATTTCAATTTAAAAGTAGTTAATTTCAATTAAAGGATCTAAGCCAGTTCAAAGAATTTTACAAGGAATCGTGTAAAATTCTTTGGTAGAAACAAACCATAACCTTGTAAAACCATTTCGTTTTACTCTGTCATCTTGCTAAATTTAATTGATGTAATGAAGGAGACGTATATGCAAGAAAAATGGTCCAAGCATCCTCCAATTATCAAAAATTTTTACAATGAACATCCTGACGTAACAAACATGACCGAAGAACATGTCGCAAAAATCAGAAAGATGAACAACTCTATCGAAGTCCACCACGTGTTTGAAAGTGAAACTGAACTTAAAATTCCAAATCCAATTGAAACATTTGAACAAGCTTTTCATGTAAGTTTTTTTTGTTAATCATGTGGTATTACCAATCGTGTAGTCAAACACTTTTATCGTTTACTTGATATTTTAAAATGTCTTTACGAGTAAAATCATGTACTGTTCAGGATTATCCAGAAATTCTATCCGAAATACAGAAACAGGGCTTTGAGAAGCCTAGTCCGATACAAAGCCAGGCCTGGCCTATTCTTCTAAGTGGAAAAGATCTTATTGGAGTTGCTCAAACTGGAACTGGTTTCTGCTTTTTATCTCATAAATACCTCCTATTTAAAACTTTTTTCGAAATTGTAATAGACAAAAAATAATTGGCATTTATTTCAGGGAAAACACTGGCATTTCTATTGCCAGCTTTAATTCATATCGATGGACAAACGACCCCACGCTCAGATAGAAAAGGCCCGAATGTTCTGGTAATGGCTCCCACTAGAGAATTAGCTCTTCAAATTGAAAAAGAAGTCTCGAAATATTCCTATCGGGGAATTAAGGCGTAAGTATTTTTTTTTTTAGGTATTATCGATGTAACAATTGTTATCTCGTAATACGTCTTTTATTTCATTTTTAAACATTACATTTCAGAGTTTGCCTCTATGGAGGAGGCAGCCGCAAGGACCAAATTGACGTTGTTGGAAAGGGTGTGCAAATTGTAATTGCGACCCCTGGCAGATTAAATGATCTTGTACAAACCGACGTTCTAGATGTTACTTCAGTTACTTACTTAGTACTAGACGAAGCCGACCGAATGTTGGACATGGGTTTTGAACCACAAATTCGAAAAACATTGCTCGATGTAAGACCGGATCGACAGACTGTCATGACAAGGTAAATCTGTGATTCTAGAAAAGCTGCTGTGAATAAGCTAGACAGATAGTGTTCAAAAGTCTCTATATTGTGGCAATCTCGTAATTTTATATATGCCATCTTAATGTTTATTTTTTCACTTCTGTTAGATATAACTGATATTTTTTTATACCTAACATGATACATTTGCATTCCTAGTGCGACATGGCCACAGGGTGTTAGAAGATTGGCTCAATCTTACATGAAAGATCCCCTGCAAGTATTTGTTGGCTCTTTAGATTTAGCAGCTGTTCACTCGGTCACTCAAAAGGTATATATCATCGATGAAGAGGAAAAAACGAATATGGTATGTTTTGGTTATTCATAGAATGACATTAAATTCCATAGTCAATGGGCTCTAATGATGAATGAATTAACTTGTACTTTAACGATAAATCATGTTCAAATGAACATAAAAGTAAGGAGATATGGTTATTATTTTATGTCTAGTTGCACGATTTCTTCAGGCGAATGGAACCCGACGAAAAAGTGATAGTCTTCTTTGGCAAAAAGGCCAGAGTAGATGATTTATCCAGCGAACTGGCCCTGACTGGGGTTAATTGTCAGAGTATACACGGAGGTCGAGATCAATCAGACAGAGAACAGGCTTTAGAAGATATTAAAAGTGGATGCGTGCGAATACTTTTAGCAACCGATGTTGCTAGTCGTGGTATAGATATCGAAGACATAACGTATGAATATTACTGTCATATCCTAATTTGTGTAAGGGCGTTGCAAAAAGATGGTACCCGATTTGTATCAAAATCATGCCCACCCTTTTTCAACAACCTATTTTTATTAAAGTAGTGAAATGCCAGATCGTTCAGGTTTTTTTTTCTTGCAGACACGTATTGAACTATGACTTCCCGCGTGATATAGAAGAGTATGTCCATCGTGTCGGCAGAACTGGTCGAGCTGGCCGAACCGGAGAGAGTATTAGTTTCATGACTAGAAAAGATTGGTCTCATGCTAAAGAGCTTATCTCTATACTGGAAGAAGCGAGTCAGGTATTCAATGATTGTTTTTTTCTTGCTCTTGTAATATAATCAATTTTTCCCAAAAACCGTGGAATATTAAGAACACTGGGGGCCACTTGTTCTTATTTCTTTTTTATACCGTACTTTTTTTTTTTAGGAAGTACCCCAGGAGTTATACCGAATGGCTGACCGATACGAGGGATGGAAAGAAAGGCGTGCCCAGGAAAAGGACCGTGAACGCATGGATAGTCGAGGTGGTGGAGGCGGCGGAGGATACGGAGGCGGTGGAGGCGGTGGAGGATACGGAGGCGGTGGAGGTGGTGGAGGATACGGAGGCGGCGGAGGCGGAGGCCGCAGAGGCGGCAGAAGGGGCAGTAGATGGGGCGGAGGTGGATGGTAGTTCGATCTTCAGTTTCGTTTCAATGGGCGCAGAAAAAATAGATTCTTACCGAGATTTACAAACATTAATATAGATTAACTTAGTGTATACCATTTTTTGCAAGACTCATGTTGGCACAAGTGATATATTGTTTTGTTTATTCTTTGAGAGAGGATTCATGCCAGTGCACTGTTTATTATAATATTCTTCGACTAGATATACCGATTCAATCATTTCTATTGCGGTTAATTCTTACGGATTTAGGATACATCGATTTCGTATTTTTTAGAACCTTCATTCCGAAGAAGTATAAGTTTAGGCGAGGGTAAATCCAAAGAATCTAGAATCGGACTGATTTTTCAGTAGATTTTCTTGTGTTAAACTCGAGACTATCTATTGATATTGATGGTCGCTATCGAACGTATCAGTATTAATACAGATATGTCAATGACAATATTATTTTATTAGTGACCGAGATATAGTTGCAACGATCTTGATTTTTTTTTTTCCCGTCATATTTTAAAACTTACGTCGGTACTGCGTCCATCCTATTATTTAATTGACCAGTGCGACTGAAAACACTGGATGTAAAGGAAAAATGCATTATTACGAAAAAAATGATTCGATTGAATAAGTACTCATTATTGCGAAGTTACTCTGCGTCTCATTCCATCTCACTCCTTCGATACGTACGTCTTCTGAAGTATGTAAAAATTATGAAACTCTTTTATTTTACAGAGGTGTCGTTACGTACGTACATATATTGGAAAATAAAACTTTCAGTGTTATTTATTTAGCTTACGGGAGACCCTGTCAAATATGCGGATAGTTTTTTAGAGACGTTTTAGAACATTAAGAGTTTTTGTACTACCAACGGTGTATTTATCCATGGGATCGAGAACTGTCAAAAATAAATACCATTTACGATTCGTCAATGATCTGAGTTCTGTAAATTTTTATTATTATACGCGGAGTAGTTGCTTCGGCACGACTCGTCGTAATTAAAATTTTATGAGCTGTACCATCCATTTCTAAAAAAACAAAGGATATACTCTGACAGATATGATCAACTGGCGTTAAAGTTAAAAAAAACAAAGGGGTTTTTAAAATTGGTTGTAATGAATATATAAAAGAAAAGGTAGTAAAATCAGTTGTAATATTTATACCTCCTGATAAATAATGCTGTAATAAAAAGATCAGCACGAAGTGTTTTAACTGTAAACTTTGAAGTTTCGAATTTTTGTGTATTTCTCAGCAAAGATTTTGCCACTTGGGGTTGGCATAGAGAATGCAATGTCTTCCATGGTCATTGTGTAGCCAAAATAGTAGTTCGATCTGAAACATTTTTCATAACATAATTAAAGATTCATCAAGCTGTTAGTAATTTAATGTACTACAAAATGAGGCCCTCCATCTTAAATGAGGGTTAATAGCTATCGCAAGTATTTTTGTTCTCCTTATAACAGGACTTAGAAGAAGAGAATTAACACGGTTAATAGCATTAAATTTTCAAACTTAAAATTAGACACCTCTTTTTAAACGTGAATACTTTCAGTTTACCTAAGTATGTCAACGAGTTTTGTAGCAATGCCTTGTCTGCGATGGCTCATTGCTGTCCAGATAATATTTATTCCACATTTCACTGGCGTGCTCTCCACTGTGCAGCAATCAAATTCCATTAAGTCTGGGATCATGCGGTGAGCAGTTTTCGCATAATCCGCTACCAAAACTCCTAGGATTGTTTTAGATCTCAAGTAGAAGTAAACCTGTAAATTTATAAAGTACATTGATTTATATTTTTTTATCATTATAAATGAAATAATAAATCTAATTAGTTATACTCTCTTATTCACCTTCCTGTTATCTCTATTGGTGATGTGCACATCAGACAAACCTAATTCTCTATCGATGACGCCCAATACTTCTGTAACTTTTTTCCAGCAATGCACAGGATCGTTGGGTTCGATTAAAATTATTTTGCTCGCTGTGAAGGGATCTTCGAATACGACTCGTTCTTTTTTCCAACCCTGGTAAATAATGATTACTTATATTAATAAGTGATAATTCATTGAGGTATTAATTACTTATTACATGCTTTTCATACACATACGTTGTGTATGAGAGTTTTTACTAACGCTGCGAAAGTTAAAATTAACTTACATTAAAATTCATAGTCTTGAGACTATTGTGATAATTTAAGTGAGAGTTCTCATCTTCAGGATCACCCAATTGATAAACAATACCACATTCGGTACACTGTGTTTCACCGAATCGTTTTTGGCCTGCATCCAATTGATATTGATCGTTAGCAGCCCCACATTTCATTAACGTCTCCCAATGTGCAGGTCTTTTTAATCCTCTACTTTTTTTGTTGCTATTATCATCGCTGAAAGAAAATTTCATAAGAATTTCCTTGAAAATTGTAACGTAAAAATAAGAAGAAAGATGTAATCGTTACTATAATTATTAACAATTTTGCATCTACTCCGTAATGTGCGAGGAATTAGAATTTGGTTTGTCATGATTTTTAAGGATCCTGTTTTTAACAGAAAAAGTGATCCATGAATAGAACAAGACTTACTCGAAATGCTGTCCAGAGTATCCCTTTTCAAACAGGGGATAGTACTTTATTGTGTTCTCTTTGTGCATCTTTTCTTTACCATCAGATTCCTTGCCATTAATAATTTGATTAGCATTTACAGAGCAAGGATCTTTGATATTCATTACAGAGGTCATGTTGCTCAATTCACTAGCGGGCGACATCATTATATCCTCGAGGTTAATTGTTGACTTCTTTGGTGAAACTGCAACCTCAGAAGCAGTCAATGTTCCCATTTTGTCGTAATCATCATCAGCCCAATCATCCTCCAAAATTTTCAAAATGTCTGCAACATTGTTATGTTTTACCCTTGCTTCATTTTCTGGTTCATCTACCGTTAGATCAGAAGCATCAAATGAGAGATCATTAATTTTTGGCTTCCTGAGCATGTTGTTTCGAGATTTCTTTTTTTTATTGAGTACAATTTTGCCATCCGACACACACAACTTAATTTTATTATTTACCGTTACAGTAGCCACATGATTTGATTTAATCGTTCGGTTTGTTTTAAAGAATCGTTTACTAGGATCAACTTCTGGAGATGGTGCTCTTTGCAATACAGGAATGTTGTCCAATTTTGGAATTTTACTTCTGAATGAATTCTCTTCATTGTCATCGGAGGAATTTTGAAGTTGTTTGGATGGTGAAGAATGTTTCTCTTTTTTACATGCTTCAGTCCGCGGAACATTACGCTTAGTTTTAGGCTTTTTAATCGCGTGGTAAACCCCAGCATTAATTTCTCCTAGCCGACGTCTCTTCACCGAGCGTCTGTGATTTGTTGGCAAACTTCGTCTTTTGTATGATCTTTCTGACTCTTTTCTTTGCATAACGAAAGATTTTGTCCTTTCCCTTTTTGGATCTTTGGAAGACAGATTATAAAAGGACTTTGCGCTTAGCGTAAATTCCTTTATTTTGGATTCCTTCTCTTTCTTCTCCTGAAAAAGAGCCGCTCGAGCCTTGGGTATCATTAAAGCATCGTCAGATTTCAACAGTTTTGCCGTGCTTGTTACCAATGTGTCTTGAGTGTGTCTTTTCAGAAAATTTTCCTTCTGATCTGGAGAAGAACTTGCATTGTCATCAAAAACGTTTGTGGACTTTCTTCGATGCAATCGAGGCAGCGGAGCCACCTTGCTTACGGAGCCAAGAGGAGTAATTAATCTTTGCAAGGGACTCTCTTCCTTGGAAGGAGTCTCTGACACCATATTGACTTCTGAATTAGGCTCAGAACTTTTCTGGGGTGTACCGAGGTGTCTCTGTGGTATATCTGGGATTTGATTTTCTGTTGCAAATAATGGCGCTACATTATTCAGAGGAGATAATGAATTATCAAAGTTTGCTTTGGTTGGAGTTGTCAGAGAACCTGACTTGGGAGAGTTTAAAATTATTTTCCGTCTTGGAGAGGACCTAGTAACTAGAGTCAGTCTTTTAAGAGCACTGAAAGGTGATAATGTCTCAAGGCATTTCTGTTCAACGTTTGGCATCAAACGATCCCACGACATAGAACGTCGAGACCTTGGTGTGGTACTCGGAGTAACTACAGGAGATTGAAATTCTCGACCAGGAGAGCTTCCAATACTGGTAGGACTTTGATCGGTTACGGCCAATGGTGACATATGACCTAAATCGGAATCTTCTGAAGTAGCGTCGGAATTCACTGGACTGTCTTCTTGGAATAATTTTTTCTTGCTAGAACTAGTTCCTGGAACGAAGAGACGTTTTTGTACTCTTCGTGGGGTAGATGCAGAGTCGCAGTGACCACTGTCATTGGACAGCATTATGCCTGTTATGCTAGGTCTCCAATGTGCTAAAACAATATAGCATTTTTAACATGTATTAAAATTTTAATGGTACAAGAGTAGATGTAATAATTTTAATCATATTAATTGGTTTCTCTTTGTAAGGTCTATCACTGCAAACTGTCTGTAGGACAATAAAGCGATTGCCGGCGATCAACTTTCACTGTAGAAATAATTGTGATCATTTTCCAAAACGGTGTATACACGTTTGGGGGCTTGAGGAAAAACGTATTTAACTGAGAGCTCCCGTGGCACATTAATGAGCTTGAAGCTGCATGTACTAACCTCGTTTTTCTTTCAAGGAATTCAAAATGGAAATGACGCGCAAATAACAACCGAAATCAACGAAGTATTCGGCGCCGAGCAAAAGAACGGTTGGGAATCTCGGTGAATACTCGCTTTTTCATGTAATTTCGCGCTCTTCGATGGGCTGGGACAGTGTTACCAATATTCTCGAATGATCGGCATAGATCTTAGATGATAGTAGTAGGGAGTATCAGAGATGAGTTGGGAGGTTGCTCACTGGCAGGGTCGCCAATCGCGTCCTGTGCTGCCCTCTGGTGGAGGATGCGGACGGTTAACGCACTTGCCACCTGTTACCCCTCAGTGGCGGCGCATCACATTTCTGGTGAGGGCTCACGTAATCGCGAAGGTAGACATAGGGTTTAAGCTTTTGTGCGGGGGTTCATGACTTAAAATCTGAGAGTGGGAGGTTCAAGGCGAGGTCCAGACAGAGTCGGTCACGGACCGTGATTGGACGACGTCGGTCACGGACGTCGTCCAATCACGGAGTCGGTCACGGCCGGGGATTGCGGCACGGACGGCGGATCGCCAGTTGCTCCTAAAAATTTGCCGCGATAATATGTCGTCGAAAATTAAGAAAATGGCGGGGGGCGCGAGGGACGTATTACATACCACGAGAGACATTTATATCAACATGGTGCTATAATTCTCAATCGACGGCATCCAGAGATCGTAACGAGGTGCAAGGGACGCTTCGTAGATGACGAGGTCGGGTGTACGCGCAGTTTCCGAACCGATGCGAAGACAATGAGGTTTGGACGCGACAGTGATCACGGTCCGCGAGTGCCATTGATTAAATATCGTTCAGCGAAAGAAAAGGAATTCAACGAAGGCAGTAGAAGCATGCAGCGTACCCAGCGTATCCAGCGAATGCAGCGAATGCAGTGGAAGCGGACACAAAGGTGGAATGCAGCCAGAGCCAACGTCGAAGGGAGGCAGATGGAGAGGAGGCCAGAAACCCCAGGTCTCTGCGGAGGGATCTCCTGGGGGAGTACCGCCAGAAAAAGACGTATCGTCCCGTTGGTAAGTCTCAACGTTTCCTTCCTCCGATCCCTTCATGTCGCAGGACGAAAGGTTCGTACCGGCACGGGGATCGGTTGTATGTTACAATTTGTTTGAGGGACCGCGAGTGGACGGGGAGTGACATCTCGCCGACTCGCGAGTGGCCGCGTGAACTTTGTTTATTTCTTGTGTGTTGATTTAGACTAGGAATAGCTTTCTCCTGGGTCCGCGGTAGAATACGTTTCGCGTTTCTTTATTGTGCGCCGGGAAGTCGGACGACCCTCCGACTTCGGGGCCATCGGTTTCGCGATATTTATTTGGATGATTTTAAAAAGACTTGGGAGGAGGATCTCGCGAGGAGCCGACCTCGTGTCGAGGTGGCACTTCGATGTGCCTGCGGATCGATTTAGAGTCGCCGCCTCGACGAGGGGAACGTTTCAGGATTTTCAGCTGTTTTTGGCTAAGCCTTCCACTACCCTGGGGCCGTAGTGCGTGCTGGGCTTGGCCTTTCTTTCTTGCAGAAATTCTGAAATATCGATGTCGAGTAGAGTCAATAGCACGTTTTAACGATGTATAAATTAATCAGCTTAGGATTTTTTCAGCCTCTACGACGGTAGGTGCCTTTTCTTGTGGCCGCGTTCTTTGCTGGCCCCCACCCTTCGTCTCATCCAGGAGCGAGTCGATCGGGTCGGGGCCAGGAGACGTGGTAAATCGAAACTTTGCGAATCCCTTCGATTGCCATCCGCGTTTCGATTCCGTGAACAAGTTTAATTTTTCTTTCATTCAACTGGCGATGGCAATCGGAACGTATGAATGTGAGAACTGAGCTCGGGGGTCGGAGGCATCCCGGGATGCTGTCCCTAGGATTAGGCTTTTTGTCCCCGGGCGGAATGAGAGAGAACCGTGGAGTGAGTGTGTTGGAACGAATGTGTTTTTTCTCTTAGATATAGCTAGGGAGGTAGGTCAGTTGTCTTGAGTGAATGTCTAGATGTAAGCAGGCAGGGCCAGGGCGGAATCTCTTCCTGGGGGTTTGGGAGGAGATCCTGAACCTGGGGTAATTTTCCATCGTCCGCGCTTCCGGAAGCGCGGAGGATGTCCACCCTGTGATATATCCGCTATTGTATCAATTTTCTTTCAGCAATAAAATTAATTAGACCGCGCTTGGGAATCGAATAAATGTGCAATACGCTCGGACTGCGCATCCTCGGATCGCAGGTCGTCGTTTTGCTAGTTTTTGAATCTGCTCGCGGAGTAATTTTTTTTTCAAATTCGAAAAATCAGGGGATTGCCAAGCGTTCGAGACGTAGGGGGCTCTGCCCGAAGAGACTACATGTGTCGAAGAGGCTATATGCCGAAGCGGCCCCTTAAGAAGAGGGCAACTACGATGGCCTTCCATTCTTTCGAATGGGCAGTCATCCATTTTTTTCGCCACGTTGTCCCTCTCATTTTTTTGTATATCCTTCTGTCTGGATTGACGGGGAGAGACGGTGAACTATCCTTTTCATGAAATTTTCTCGAGTCTGCATTTAAGTAAGATAAATATATTGGATTTTTGTCACGCCAAGCAATATATAATATAATACAGTTTTACTGGGTCAATTATACGAGATCGATGCTCTGCAAAATATTCTTGACTTTAATGGTAACTTTAGTAAGTTATTAGCTCTTGTATCACCGTCTTTTTCTCGCTTTCCCAGTGGTTTCGTTTGTGCCTTTGTGTTCCCTTTCAGCTTTAGGTGGGCCACTTCGGAGAATCTGGCGACTTCAAGGTGTTTCTTCACTGTTCTGTTTTACCTGTACTTTTGTGCCCCTTTGCAGGTTTAGGTGGATCACCTGGAAGCAGCTGATTTGGCAGAGATAAGTTGGGAGATTGCCATAATAGTAAGCTACCACCGTCAACTGCCGCATGGTATTACCATCACGAATACGTGAGACGCCAATGGCAACTGGTAGTTGGCACAGCCATCGCGAGTGCGCGAGCCCCTACCAGAAATTCGTTGCGCCGCCCTTGGGGGCAAAAAACGGTGAAAGCTAACGTACGAAACCAGAGGGCAGCACACGATGCGATCCCGCGACCCTGCCCGTGAGCAATCTTCCAACTCATCTCTGGTCCAGATATATATGATCTAAGGAAGAACTGACTTTCCAGGGTTGCCACTTGCATGCTAAGGTCTGTATAAAGTTGGCCGTGCTTCGCCATGGTTCCGCAACTTAAGCTCACGAGTCTTTCAAACAGTAGCATCGATTCAAATCCCGTTTCCGTAATTGCATTTTTTTTTATGATTAAACACCATCCCACATCCGTAAATTGAGCTAATACGCAGTGGAAAATGATAGCTGCAGATAGCTGTGCAAAGATAGCAAATCTTCTTCCTGTCTGCTCGTACATAACCTGCGATCTTTAAAACCGTGTAAGAAAACTAAGAAAATTTGTCAAACGGAAAGGTGAGTGGAATTCACCACGTGTTATGCGCGAATTTGAACATTATTTAAAATAAAGATATTCAGATAATTGCCTCTTGATAAGAGGTTTAAATAAGACGACTTAACTTTCGCGTTTTGGAGCATGTGACATGCCGTTCGCTTTTCGCTTTTGATCACGTGTTCAAACCCCGCTGGAGGATATAAAAAGGTTGACTGATGTTCAATGACATTTTTGTCGTTATGAGATGAATTGTTGTTGGAGGAGTAATGAAAAATATTGGTTAATAAGTTTACGTCTTTTTCAGGAGAATTTTAAATGTCATGAGTAAGGAAGATTCATCCATCAATTTGTCCTCCTTTTCAATAAAGACGAAACACATAAAAGATAAAGGTGTAAAGGTATTCGTTCTTCCTCCTGATGCTTTGCAGAGTCTTGGACTTCCGATTAAAAGCACATTCGGTATTTAATTTTCTTAAAATGAAGTAGTTTATAGTGTAGGTTTCTTTTTATAAGTTGTAGATCATTGTAGCTAAAATATAATGGACTTTTTATTTTTTATTAAAGGTAAGCAATTACTAAAAGAAACATCATCTGCTGAAACAACATCGGTGTCTCCAACTCAGATATTTTGTTCTAATATCTCAAATTCATTCTCTAGTCAAGGCGACCACACCAATGTAGATGATAGCGAGATAATAACGATACAATCTAGCGAAGTCCCCTTGAATAATGTGACAAATAATTCTCAGGTAGCTATTTCATCAAATACTTCATTACCAGAAAAATCATTAACTGATGAAAGTAGCATTTTAGAGGATTCTTTGAAATTAGGAACAAATACTAATGCAAATAATGAAAATGAGAAAAGGTGTAATGTGCAAAACAAGAAAAAGAGATCAAAACAAGTCACGAAAAAGAAAAAAACTCCTCAAAATTATGTTATAGCTAATACCATGGATTCAACGGTATCAACCGATCCTTTGAAATCTGGAGTAAATTCAGAGCAAACAGGTATAATCACTGAATGTGATTCTGAAGCAATGACAATGCCTGCGATTTATGTTCAAAACACAGCCTCAAAGCATGAACAAATACCAAAAAATAAATCTAATACAAAAAATTCACCTGACAGTAAACAACATACAGAACAAAGTGACAAATGCATTAGAAAACGAAAAGATTTCAATAATTATGTTATATCAATTCCATGTGTTAAGAAATCGCCAACAAATAGTGTTAGAAAAACAAATCCCAGTCGAGCCAAACAAAGTATTGTATCGAATGAAAGCATTAACTGTAATACAGAAGGCAAATCTGGCCTTCAAGATATTGGGGTAATAGAGGATAAGCCAAGAAAGAAAAGAAAAATTGCTGGCTGTGACATAGTGGAACAACATGTGGAAGCAAATACAAAATTAGTTTCTAAAGAATCCATTGAGGCGGAAGAAGAAAAAATTAAAAGTATTCCTATGAATGACAAGGAGGAATCCCACGAAACTAATAATCTGAATAATTCTGTTATATTGTCGGAGACACCAGTGCGTAGAAAAAGGGGTAGACCACGAAAAAATCCACCTAGTGTTACTACACAAATATCAGATGCATTACAAGAAGAATCGAATATACATCTGACAGAATCAATTGAAGGAGCTGTAAACCTGGATGACTGTAACAACTTAGCATCTGCCAGTGGTAAAACAATTATTAAATTTTGAACGTTTAAAGAATTTTGTTTGATTTTTGTCTTTAGTATATAAACCGAAAGAAAATATGGAAGAATATGAATGTAAAAACTACTTCTGAATCACTTATTTTTAACAGGAAGTACTCCATGTAGGACAAGAATTGCGAAAATAAGGCAGGATACTACAGATGGTAAGGGGCTAAGCGAAGAGAGCGATAGTGAAGATTTCAGCGAATGCGTGATACCTACGAAAAGAAAAGGTCGTAAACGATATCGAGGCCGAGGCAGAGGTCGAGGTAAAGGACGTGGAAAATGTTTCAGAGACTCTGAGTATATCCCAAGGCAATTAAAATCTCAAGCTAATTCGAAATCTCTTAATGGTGAGGAAGAACTACTTAATGAGGAGGTTAGTTATTCTCTTGTTCAGAAACTCTATACCTTGTATTGTATGTTTGATAACATTATGTTTGCAGGTTTTGAATGTAAAATGCATTCGATGTGAGAAAGAAGTACCAACAAATAAATGGCACATGCATAACTTGCAAGAACATAACTACATGGGTTGGCACGAAGGTGAAGAAGTAATGGTGGGTTTCTGCAAAAATGCACTGATTGGAATTGACTTTGAGAAAATTATTAACGCTGATTATAACGTGTTACAGGATTTAGAGAATGATGAGAAACTGTTGAAAAGGGTTCTGACATATGCAATCAAGCAAAAACGTGGTCGTTTGACCTGCGAAAAGTGCAAAGAAGTAAAACGTAGTGTGATTGGTTTCATATCTCACATGCAGTTCTGTGGAAAAACAGCAGATGTAAGTGAGGAAAAAAATAACATAAATTAAAGTGCTATTTCGAAATGCTCAGATTTTCGTGTTACCTGAAATAAGGCAGCATCTACATCACGATATATATTTACATTTATAGGAAAGTATGGCAATGATGATCCCTTGCTCGATTTGTCACCATTTAATGAAGCCGTCATCTAAAGATATGCACATGCGAATACACAGGCAGGCGGAGCAGAAATTATTACTTCCTGTGGAAGACCTCGATGCTGCAACACCGAGACGCAAAGCAGCAGAAAAGTTCGAATAATTTGTATTTGATGTGTCGTTCTAACATTTATTTTGTGTAAAATAAAAAATAATTATTTCCAGAGCTATAGCGAAGATTTCTGAATTCACCGTAATGACAAAAGATGAGAACGAGCAGCCTTCAAAGAAGACACATACTGATTCGGTAATTACGGTTTGTGAAGTTACTTAATATTTATTTAATTTCAACTAGATTATCAAGAACATTTAAAAATGATTACCTTACAGAAACAATTCATACAGAAGCCACTATTAATAAAGAGGATTCCTGGCATCCTTAAAGCATTATGGAAGAAACAAATAATTGAAAATGGTGTAGCTGCCTGTCGTCAAGCAGGCTGTCAATTCACTGCGCCTTCCGTTGAAGAAATTTGCAAACATTACTCCTTGTGCAACTTTACGCCACAACAGGTATTCTTAATTTTTATACCTTTCATATATAATACTTATATATTCTTTTTTATGGCTATTGCAGGTCCTATTTAATTACAGTTGATTAATAAATTGTTATCATATTAGGATTTTGTCTGTAAAATCTGCAACTATTCAACAGAAGATGAGGCAAACATTACGCAACATGTGAAGGAAAACCATCCGTCGGACGAATTTATTAACAAGGGTCTAAACTCTGATAATGAAGGAAAGTACGCTACGTCATCAGAAGATAGTGACAGTGATTCTACTGAGATGGACTCAACCATTTCGAAAATGCGCGTCTGTCGGGAAAGCTCAAGTAAGCTTTAATCGCAGTTTTCAGTTTACTTTAATTACAAAAATACGAGAATGAGTATTTTATTTCTAGGAAGTCATAGAAGAATAGATTTCCTAGATAAGGAAATCGTGCAGAAATCGATTTGCAGCAAGCCATACGCGGCTGCCTTGAACTTAACTTTGAAATTGTACGTATTTTCAAATAAATTTGCCCATTCGTGTCTGATCTCAGTATTTGTTGGCTTTTCAAACTGTGACACATTATTTCAGCGCACTGAAAAATTACCAATTATCCTTGTACAACGAATACGTTCCAAATACTTTTACATTATTAAGCAACAGTGAAGCTAGGATGTATTTACCAGAATTAGAAAATTCAATGCAAACAGCAACGATGGAACCACAAAATTTAGAAAACCTGAAAGATGAAACGATTCAGTGGAAAACGTGGACCCTGGCCGAGGGAGGTTTTGACAATGGTCAGTTTTAATATGTTATCTTATAAATTCATGAATTAAAATTAATATTTATAGTTTAAAATTTTGAATTCTTGCAGGTGTTCCTACGCTTTTTGTCGGAGGTCCTGTATGGGCTTTGGCTTGGCTACCGATACCTACTCCTATGTACAAAAAACAACCCACTCAATATTTAGCTGTCAGTACACATCCAACCATGGAAAGCTCTTATGCAGTAGGAAAATCATATTCAGGTCGGAATGCTATCCAAATCTGGAGTTTAGGACATCTAGATCACGAGTGCGTACCAATCCATTAAAAGTAATTAAGTAAAAATATCAAATTATATATACTGACATTTGTCAAATGTTCAATGTAGGGATGCAATGACTGCGCCTTCTTTGGCTTATGCGGTTGCTCATCATCATGGAACTATTTGGACTTTGGAGTGGTGCCCTTCTGGATGTTACGAGGATGAAAGTCTTTTAAATTATTGCAAGACAAACAACAAATTGAGAAGAATGGGCTTACTAGCTGCTGCATGTTCCGATGGTTGTGTACATATTTATTCTCTTCCTTTTCCTGAGGAATTACGGCCTCCTGAAGAAACGAATCCAAGGTATGGTAATTTTTTCACGTGTCAGTGGGAAATAGGTGCTTCGAATTTGTCCGGTTTCAACTCACCTTTTGTTCACAATTAAGTAAGAGCTAATTGCTTTTCAGGTGGCTGGTTTATAAGGCAGAGCCTGTATTAACATTGGTTGTAAATATCATTCTACATGATAATGCAAAGGAACTTTGGCAGTGCACAAAGTTATCTTGGTCCAAGGAACGTGGACACAAGTAAGAATTTAAAGTATTCTGAAATTACTTACAAAGATGTCAATTTCATTGAGATGAAAAAATAATAATTATTTTTATGTTTATATCAAAGCACTATAGTAGCTGGCTTTTCGAACGGATATGTTGCTCTTTGGGATCTGACGAATAAATCGCCGCTTTTGCTAAATAAACGAGGAAATACAACGACACTTAGTGCCTGTCGACATTTTTGTGCTCATGGTCATGCCGTCAGCAGTAAGTGAATCTATTGAATATAATATGGAAATATTTTATAATTTATGACAACTTTTCCCAGTGGTATCTCTAGTTCCTTACGGGAACAAACGCTACCTGGTGACAGCTAGTTATGACAGGTGCTACAAATTTTGGGACTTGGAGAATACAAGTTATCCTCAGTCCACAACAAGGAAAGGACTGATAGTAGACGGTACTTGGATGCTTCACTGGCCATGTGGTCTCGTTAGTTTCGATGATGCTTTTGGGTAATTTATATGCAGTTATATAAATATGTGGAGTTCTACCTGAGAAATGCAATAAAAATTAAGCCTTCAATTTCAGGCTGGGTCATACCAATTCTTATATCGTTCCATTAAGAGAATACGGATACAAGATCTTCCCCATCTTAGGGACGAATTCCCCGACATATGTGAGAAATTTAATTAAGACACGTTTATTTTACAACACATAATGCTTAACTATTAATTTAAATGTTGCTTTTTAGACCATTTCCATGTGCGATTATGCCAACGGAATAGCACATGGCACTTTGGCTGGCGAAGTTATAACAATTTTTCCTCATCAGTTGCTTTATATCAACGATATGGATAAGACCCTTACGAAGAAGCGGCGGGTAATTATTTTCTCCTCAAGTATATCTCGGTGAAAGTCTCCAAAAGTGATTGAAAGTTAAAGTATGAGTTATTACATTTTCATACAGTTATAATTTGGATTTAGGTGTCTTCATACGTTCATGTTATGGATTTCGATCCAAAGACGTGTTCAGAAGTTGCAAATGCGCAGAACAGTGACAAAGCTGAAGAAAAGAACGACGAATCGTGCGACTATCACTATATGCCAGATAAATACGTAGACTGCAAAGATCGGTTTGGTCTCGTTTTCTGCGACAGCGTTAAATCCGTCAGTATTCAGCGTAATGTGACAAAAATTATATCTGCACCTAGGATATTAGTTTACTATCCATAATCTTCTAACTGATTGTAGATAACTAAGAAGATAGACACAAGCAAGCCTACCAAATCTTTGGTGGCGGAGAACTTGAAAAACATCCCCGTGGAACAGTACCCGTTCATGTCGGTGAATCGAGTAAGTATTCCTTGAAAGGTATATAATAAGTTGAGGAATAAGTTCCTGCCATATTAATTACGTTACGCAACGTTAAAAACGACGGGAACTTATTCCTCAACCTAATATATTTGATTTAGTGAATAGCAAAGTAAATAACTGATTAACATCCTCCAGATTTTGTGGAATCCTAATTCGTGGAGTTACCTTTGGTTGGCCACGGGCTATCATTGTGGAATAGTGAGGCTGCTTACATTTAGGTCAATGACTAATCCCGAGCAGAAAAAATTGTTACCACAGTACGCTCAAAAAATGATAGCTCAAGCAGCAGTCGCAAGTAATAATTAGGACCGAATTAGTAGACCCGCAAAGTACAAATTCCGAGGACCCTCAGAACTGTACAAATATTCTACGAGCTACAGCTAGGAAGGAGTATACATAGAAATAAGCGCTTCGCTCTTCCGGCTTTACTGATCGTCCGCACGAACACGATTACGAATTGCTAAGGTATAAAAAGAAAAATCAAGTCGAATGAACACACTAAAGATTTGTAGTCCATCGTGGGGTGCTGTATAAGAACTTGCATTCCATGTAGTTGGTTATTTATATTGTATAAACGCATGTAAAAATATGTATATGGGAAACTTTGAAACCTCGTGCCTTTACGCATATTTATTTAGGTAACGTTATTGTGTCAAGTACACGATGCCAATGCATACTCCAATCCCTCGAGATCTTATGTTTCCAACTTGTATATATTATATTATACATATATATTTGTACAGATATTTCATACGCGGTAATTTCTGGTGTACATACTGGAAGCTATTTAATGCCTGAATTAGATGTCCTCGCAGATTACTAATTATTATATTCTATTACCATTTATGTCCGTGATTTTCTTAAACATGTATGGACCTACATATTACGATTTTTTACATGATCATTCTTTAAAAATAAATTACATTATTATTAATCAGTTTCATGTGTTATCCTTGGGAATGATACTATCTCTGTGTCGCTGAAATACAGTACACGTAATGTGTACTTTCAAAAGTGTGCGCGTCGCCGCCATCTTGGAAAGTGAGGGTGGCAAAAGGCAAGGGTCGAAATATCTGGAGATACAGCGTTTTAAATAACTTTCAGGTATTCCGAAAGGGAAGCTACGGGAAAACTCCGTAAAAAATAACATTATCTTGTCCTATCAACGTTTAATACAGATTCAAACAATGGGGCATGCATTTTTTAAAATGCGCGCCGCCGCCATTTTGGAAAGCGGGGGCGGTAAAAGTCGACTGCAGACGTATGTAGAGACGCACTAGAAACGGCAGAAGGACTTTATCAGCGTCTCCGTCGCTTTGGGCCACTCCCGAGAGATTGAAAAAGGAAGCTGCGGCATATCGCTCTTAGGAAATAGCGATATCTCGCGCTTGACAATATTTAATATCACCCGGTCGCCGGAAAATCCCGTAGAGTCGGTTCTCTCACCGGAAGTGCAGCTGCAAGACCGCCACGCGAATCCGGTAAGGACGACGAATGCACAGTCGCTAATTTCAAACTTTCTAAGATAGGAAACTATCCATAGAACACTTTTATAAATTAGTATATTTATCGAGTATTCTGATTTTAATTGAATGAATGGAATTATTTCCATTCAGAAATGGGCATTAATCCGATGAAATGGAAAACGAGGACTGTCGCTTACACGGCTCTGGGTATTTTATTGCTGTATGTATTGTTTATTCATACAAGAACGTACGAGGTAACGGTCACAGGTACCCTTAAAAATTCAAACCCCGAACACGTTTGGGAGTACGTTGCCGATTTTAGTAACATGAAGACGTTAAATCCGACGATGTATGTATTATTCGCCATTCAGACAGATAAAAGTCTTGCCGCGTTAATATCCCGTATTTTGCATTTTAGAGAGGATTTCGATATTATCGAGGAAAGCGGTAACTACGATCACTGGAAATACTCTGTCAAGTATACGGAACATTTGAGTCACATGCCTGCGGTCAAGAACACTGCCCTGGGACACTTTTCAATATTACGGGAGAAGGACGATTTCGTTATTAATTCGCAGCATCGCACTTGCTTCTTCGCAAATTTTGGCTGCTGTAAGAATTCTCCCACTATTTATTTACACCCTTTTTGAACGAGAACGAAACTAGGCACCTATTTTATTTTATTTTTTCTTCTTCTGTTTAAATTGCCTCTGAAAGTATTCAAAACTGGCTGGAATTTTGAAAATGCACTTAATGCATATCAATTGGCTGTTCGAATGGTCTGATAAATCGTGCTTGATAGGAGGCAAGATAATGTCTGGCTTCTACGGATTTACTGTTGCGCGGACGGAATATATTTTGCATCCAAAATTAACTTGAATTCTAGCAACAGCCTCGTGTTTCAGTGGATTCCACCTCGCAGTTCAAGTTCAGCGGATCTAAAGGAGAGACGAAATGCTTGGAAACCGTGAAATACGAATGTCCTATGGCTTTGTCGAATCTCTGCGACAGGGAAGTCAGGTACCAACGACAGGAGATCATGAAGAATTTAAAGGCGCACTTTACCAAGAAAAGCGTCCCGACGCTTACCAAGAACTCATAACCCGCTTTACAGGAATTTTTCGAACGATTGTTTACAATATTCTTGTAAAACATCTAATTTTGAGTTGGTAAAACTCAGGAGGGATGTCCAAACGTTTTCTACGCGTACCTTCGATTTTATATCAATGTACGAATAAAGGAAGTGCCTTGATTTTATACTTGTGTAAAAAGAAAAAAAAAGCGAAGCGACTTATTTATGGAATCTCCGAAGGTATAAATCAATTACAGGTAATTAGAATATTTTTAAGTGGAATTTCACACAGTACGGGTCAAATATGTACGTACATAGCTTGAACCAGTATTGAATCAGATTCGAGTTCCATTTCATAATCGCTCGTATCGCAAAGATCGCGCTTGTTAAACAAATATTTATAAACGTTTGAATGAGTGTATATATTTTTTGTATGATTTCGCTTATTTTCCCGCAGTTATTTTAACGCCCTTAAGTTTAAGGTGAGCTCCATTTGCAGACGGAACCGCGGATTAAAGTAACGTTTCCAGGAACCATTTTTTAAACACGGCATGAGCTCTCTCTTTTGCTCTCTACTAACACGGTGCCAACAGAAAAGAGGAAAACGTAGATCTAGTCTATATTGCGTACAGGCGGATCAACGGTTCCAAAAGAAATAGCGAAAGTCTCGTCTGGTTAGGTTGAGTCCACGGGATTACATTTACACTGATTTACCGCCAAGTTCACGAGGAGTGCGAGGATCGTTTATATTTTTACTCTCGAGCGTGAATTTCCGCTGTTCATAGTATATATTTTAAATATCCTGTACATTTACACAGTATCCTGAAAAATGTCCAACAAGTTCGATGCGTAAGTGACATGTTAGCGTTCATTCATCTACTCTTTATTTCAATGGCTTCTCACGCAGGCAAGAGGTTATGTTAGACTTCATTACAGAATGAAAACAGAGATTTGTTGAACGGAATCTCGAATGTTAATTAATAGTCAGGGTACCGTAAAATATGAGAAAAATGCCACGCCACATTTAACAATGTGCCTTTGGCGATGTCCTTTGGATAATTTGTTTACAATTAATTTTTTCTTTTAATACTGCTAGACTTGTACGTCATTGAACATCGCTGTCCTAATTTGCAAATTATTATAGAGATATTAGTCTTTCAAATCAATTGGATTCTTAGTAAAGAATGTTTAGGGATTGCAGGCTGAAATCGAGTGACGACAGTGCCGACGAGGAGGCTCAGACGAAAGATAATCAAAAGACGGACAAAGATCCTCTGGTAAGTGCGATGCGAGTTCAGTGCCATCTGTTTGAGGAATAAACGTAATTCCTGAATGATCTTTATGGAATTATTAATTTCGTTACTTTACAGCCACCTGTAGAAATAAATCCAACCGAGCACAAGTTACAGTATGCTTATGCATTATGGTACAGTCGCCGCAGTCCCGGTAAACAACCCAACATACAGAGTTACGATCAAAACCTGAAGTTGGTTGGAAGGTTCGGCAGCGTGGAGCAATTTTGGAGTTTGTACAGTCACTTAATAAGGCCATCGGAACTAACCACACATACAGACTTTCATTTATTCAAAGTCGGGATTAAGCCAATGTGGGAAGTTAGTGATTGTTACAGGTTTAGGAGCCTTCCGTGATAAAATATCATACTTGTGCGTTTGTACGTGGTGACGAGTTTATAATTATCCTTTTGCAGGACGAAGCGAATCAGCGTGGTGGAAAATGGATAGTAAGGTTACGGAAAGGTTTAGTGTCTCGATGTTGGGAAAATTTAATTCTGGCAATGTTAGGCGAACAATTTATGGTTGGAGAGGAAATATGTGGAGCAGTTGTATCTATAAGATTTCAGGTAAGAATTATATGTTAATGGTTCAATGATTTGCATTATTAATTGCATTCTATCCCAGGAGGACATAATTTGCGTTTGGAATAAAACTGCATCCGACGTTGCGACGACAGCACGAATCCGAGATACCTTGCGACGTGTGTTACATCTCCCGGCTAGTGCTTCCATGGAGTACAAGAAACACAATGACAGTTTGAAGTAAGGGATAACTCTTGTTACAATACATTTTAAGTTTCTTTCAGTAATTAAGGCAGCTGCAGATTTTAGTAGATCGTCACGGTTTTCCAGGTATCTTAATATGATTCCTCAACATCAACACCATTGACCGACATGTGTTTAAATTATTGGTGATGAAAAGTGTCAAAATGTCATTGACTCTAAAAATTCAATTGACTCGCAAAAAATGATATGCGGGAAGTGGATTGTTACGATTGGACATCTATGGATAAGCATCTCATTGTGCATCACTAAAAGGATGTATTTAAGACACACCCGAGTGGTACATTTACATGAAAATAATTGGTTATATCAAAACAGTAAATGTTACTAGCTTATGGTTATGCACCAAGAAAATACCGTACGTTTTTGAAACATGGAAATTTACTTTTGGAGACTTCATACATGATCATATTGTATGTACCTGCCCAATAAAGACAAGAGATTGAGAGATCCAGCAAAGTTTAGGAAGTTCTAGAAAATGCACTAGGATGGGATTGAATTTTTAATCCAAGTTTTGGAATATTGTATAAGGAACTATTTTTTTCTATCCTCTCAGTTTGTCTACATAGGTCAACACTATTTAAACACTACTTTGTACTGGTTAAATGAAAACGTGACAATATCAGAGAATTAATCAGAAGACAAGGTCTCTAAAATATAAAGATAAAAATCATATGATTGCTTAAATCATATATAGTAATGTGAAACTTGTTTATTCTTTCCCTTTAAATATTCGTTTACATAAAGCAAAAGAAACATTGATCCTTACATAAAAACATGGATATATAGACTAATGTTTACGCAAAAAGATATGAAACATTGTAAATACAAAACATTAAACATGAAGTTTTAAATAGATTTTACAGTTTGTTGATAATGTTTTTATCTTATAGTAAATTAAGTCTATTAGATATAGTAGGATGAAACCGTAATTTGGACTTCAAAGCGAGACAGAATTCCTATATAATATTTTTTCAGGAAAATGTTAAGCTACTTGTAATAATGTCAAACTTGTAATTTATTTATCCCTTTGAGTGGCATGTATATTTGCTAAATGAAACCTCTCAACCATATAATAGTTTCGCAACTATATAATAGTGGATTCGAACCATAAATATAAAAATGAAACAGAGCTACAACTTAACGGTATGTAAATGTATAGCATCACCTTGTGTTACTTCATTACAAATTTTTAATGATTCGCTGCTTGAGAACATCTAACGTCGATACATATGATCATGTTAACTTATTGTTTATTAGATTCTCAAGAACAATTGAGCTTCGGCATGGCCAAAAATCAAGGATAAAAGCCGTAGTTTAGTATTCCTGGGATCCCTTGTCACCCTTTCCGGAACCACCCCCAGTACCCGTCTTCTTAGGTAACAAAACTGCCTGAATATTCGGCAAGACACCACCTTGAGCAATGGTAACACCAGAGAGAAGTTTATTCAACTCCTCGTCATTGCGAATGGCCAACTGCAAGTGACGTGGGATTATCCTAAGAAGAACAAAGGATAATCATTTCAGGCATCTTCAAAGACCAATAAACAAGAACCAATGCAAAACCAATACCGACAACCATTTCAAATCTTTAAATATCCTAATGGAATTAGTAATAACATTCCAAGCTCAAAGACAACACTACTCAACAGTGGAATACGAATCCGTTACGATGTCCTATCCATAACCCTGGTCACTTTGTCCTTCCTTTAAACTTGACCGAAGCAAGAATATCTCATACTTTGTAAGCAACTTTTTCAGAAGCAGCTCTATCTCAAACGGGTTCCAGAGAATCGTACCGTTGAGGCGAAAATAGGCTACCAATTAAGACCTTTGTAAGGATCAGGTAACAAATACTCAAAACACAAGATATCGTCAAGCTAGACGATTAAATTTCCTCTCATTGAATTTCCCAAGAAAGCAGAGCCCGTGTACAGACCTCGTTTTCTTATTGTCCCTGGCAGCGTTTCCAGCGAGCTCGAGCACCTCAGCAGCCAGATATTCCATAACGGCCGCGAGGTATACAGGTGCTCCGGCTCCGACGCGCTCGGCATAGTTCCCCTTCCTCAGGAGACGATGGATCCTGCCGACAGGGAACTGCAGACCTGCTCTGCTGCTCCGGGTCTTCGCCTTCCCCTTGGTCTTGCCTACGACGAGAAATTTTTCGAGCCACTTACAGGGGGGAACCGCCCGGCTTTCCGCAGAGAGAGAGAAAAAAGAGCGCGAGACTCACCTCCTTTGCCGCGTCCAGACATCTTCCAAACGAAAGGGGTTTACGAAAACTGAGGGATCTTGCAAAGCGACCGACCAACCGGTACGAGATCTCAACGGCGAATGAGGTTGCGTCGCTACGAGGCTCCGCGCCGACAAACGAGGTTACGCGCTACTCTGATATTTCGGCCGCGCTCGTTTGCGCGGGAACCTCCCAACCGGAAACGGATGCCAAGAGATTGGCGGTGACAGTGGGTACCGAAAGCCTAGGCCATCGACTATACGACTATGTAGATGTGCACATTTTCAAAAAATGGCGGCTGGAATATCTTCGAGTTCTTCGACACGTTGGGTATACCGTGTAATCTTGCAACTGCAATTATTTCGTAGGAATGTACTTAAGTCATTATCTGAATGGAGATTTTACATGATAATTACTAGATTTCTGGAATTCTTTTCGTTCCGATCCAACGGAAAACTCCAATGAAAAGGAGTCTCGTTCAGGGAGTGGACAAACCCCGCGCAGGATTTCAAAATGGCGGACGCTTCGACGAATCAGTGTCCGGCCGCGCGTCGATACTCCTCGCGTGAGATTCCACCCAAACGATTTCAGCGATCGCCAAAACGAAGGGAGCGAGGGACGTTCGCCTATTATCACTCGCTTCGTGCGCTGGTGTATATTTTTCTAATAATAATTACGAAAATGTTTCGACGCCTAATTCACGGGAAAAGTTGAGAGCGCGGAGCGAGCGTTCGGCCGTGGAGTCCGGCCGAAGTCCTTTGAGTCTCGCCAAGGACGGAGAATCGGAGGAATCGGAGTAACTCGCGGCGTTCCTCGAGCAAAACGATGTGAATCTGTGCGGTGTGCGATTTACTGCATAAAAAGAGCGAGACCGCGCCGGAGTGGAACGGAGCGAGAGAGAGGAGACGACCCGGGAAGAACAGGTTCAAGCGGGACGAGACGAGCGTGCAAGAGAGAGAGAGAGGAAGATGTGTCGGTGGATGAATTACTACAATTTGCTTAATAGCTAATAGACTCAAAATTACTGGTATGCTCCTGTGATCTGGTCACGATGCCCGCGTATGCAACGATATTTCCATGTCTCTTCCTAGGACTCTTAGGTAATTCCTCTGTTTTTTCTATGCTCACTCGATACTCCTGTTATTCTAATTTAAGATGCACCACTGGCCTCGGAAGGTATAAAAAATCTCACGGGAATTAGTGCCTTCCGATGTCGCTGGACGAGGAGCTTCGTGTAGGTTTTGTCAAACTTTGTAAGCGCGAGTGGAATTTATCGGTAACACATCACCTTGTTCTAAATAATGTGCGATAACAAGTCCGTGTCTTTACCCGGAATGCTTAGGTATTATTTATCGTTACTGTTTACTAACACTTCAGAAATATACAAGTGTCAATTTAAAATATAATGGGGCATATAGAACTTGTTTACTTAATTGTGACGTGTTCGGTAGGATTAACGTATGGACACGATGTCAAGGGCTCGACATCTTGTGAATTTTACAATGAAACAATGTGCACGGAATCTCAACAAGGGTGTTCGGGTAAAGAAGAATGCGGACCACATGACCCAGACAAACGAAATCATTGCTATGTTTTGTGGCAATTTGACAGCACGACAAAGACGTCGACTATTAAACTAAAGGTTCATAAATATTAAATTATTATGTCATATCTATTTAAAAATGTACTTTATGCATCTCTCGTATCATATGTTTACTTGATAAATTGATATTGTAATATTTTGTATTTTTGCATGGTGGTGCCTTTTCAGGGATGCTTTTTGGATAGTAAGGAGTGCTATGATAAGACGCACTGTGTTGAGAAAAATGCAGATAGAAAAAAGCAGTTATTCTTTTGTTGCTGCGACGGAAACATGTGTAACCAAAATTTCACATGGGATCCTCAGCCTACGCAGCCTCCTCCTCCCGTACTCCATGGTGAGTTTTTAATTCTAACGATATTCCCAACTACAAGTTGAATACCAAAATATGAATGACGATTTCTTTATTATTTCAAATGTTCCTCATTGTTATAGAGTACGAGCCAGTACCAAATACAGAGCAACAGATAATAACGCTCGTCCTATCTATCTCAATACCCATGCTGATTCTTGCCTTAATTTTCCCTTTATTATATTGGTGCTATCGTCGTCGTAAGTTAGGGTACTTCAATGAAGTAAGCATTACAATTTATTAATATGTTAAAATATATTGAGATTATAAATATAACGTAATTTCATCCGTTTATTGTAGGTGCCAACGTTAGAACCGCTTCCGCTACCACAACCTTCACCCAATTTGGGTTTGCGACCGATACAGCTTCTGGAAATAAAAGCTCGTGGTCGTTTTGGAGCTGTGTGGAAGGCTCAACTGAAGAACGAAGTGGTAGCTGTGAAGGTGTTTCCTATACAAGATAAGCAATCCTGGCAGACGGAGCAGGAAATATTTAAACTGGCGCACATGGATCACGAAGACATTCTACGATACATCGGCGTGGAGAAGAGAGGTGACAACTTGCAGACTGAGTTCTGGCTCATTACTGCATATCATGAGAAAGGTTCCTTATGCGACTACTTGAAGGCCAATGTTGTAACTTGGTCAGAAATGTGCAGAATTGCTGAATCCATGGCGAGGTAAAAACTTTTCCTAGATAATTAGTGATATAAACTATTATAAAAAGGTAAATCCTGTTGGCTGATCATAAATATTTCTATCAAAGAGGTTTAATGCATCTTCACGAGGAAATCCCAGCCAATAAAGCAGACGGATATAAGCCCGCTGTAGCGCACAGAGACTTCAAATCGAAAAATGTTCTTCTCAAAGCTGATATGAGTGCATGCATAGCTGATTTTGGGTTAGCTTTGATCTTTCATCCGGGAAAACCTTGCGGTGATACGCATGGACAGGTATCTGCGATATTATTTTCCTACCTGAGGAATATCGCGCCAATTTTAATAAATTTGCAGTTAAAAACTTTAACTTTTAATTTACTATTCTTAGGTTGGAACTCGGAGATACATGGCTCCAGAAGTTCTGGAGGGCGCGATTAATTTCACGCGCGATTCTTTTCTTAGAATCGACATGTATGCCTGTGGACTGGTGCTATGGGAATTAGCATCACGGTGCACGGTACAAGATGTGAGTTGTCTTTAGGAATTATCTGTTCATCTCGAATAAGCTAAAAAGCAAGTTTAACTGTTCGTCATGACACTTAATGGTCCCATAAAACAGATTTTCAAAGTTTCAAAGTAATCGATTGACATTCAAATTGATTTTATAGTATGTATCTTTTTATGCAGGGCCCCATCGGGGAATACAGGTTACCATTCGAAGAGGAAGTTGGACTTCATCCTACCTTGGAAGACATGCAAGAGAGTGTCGTACACAAAAAGGAACGACCACTCATTTTGGAAACATGGCGAAAACATGCGGTAAATAGATCAGATTTACTTGCAATGTTTCCTGCTGTAGCGAAGCATTTTTTTTTTAAAGCTGCGCTATGGGTCTACATGGATGTTTAAGTACACTGTCTATTGTCTTGTTTTTTAGGGTCTCCTTTCAATCTGCGACACGATGGAGGAGTGTTGGGATCATGACGCGGAGGCGCGTCTTTCCGCATCCTGTGTAATGGAACGGGTCGCTACTTTAAGCCGAACGCTCGTTCTAAATTCATCGACCTTGATACGGGTCGACAACACCAACGAGTCTATCACCACCAAGGAGTCTAGTATGTAGTTAGCCTGTGTGTATTATAGCTTTAGTTAAATTGCACAACCAACAGTTTCCTGTACCATACAACTTTCTTCTACGATCATCAATGGGGAACATCGTCGATGTAGATACGTTAATATCTTCTAGACCGTTCTTTTAGTTACTGTGAAATCTGTCATTCGTGGTCGTGGATTATTTTCTAGGTATCGCGTCGCTTTAAATATCCTAAATTTTAATCATCGTGGAATTACAGAGTTAACATAGGCTGTCGATCAGCCATCGTAGATCAAATTCTTGTGTCAGAATCAATTTTTATTGAACTGATGGAACAAAGTGAGACCATTAATTATTATTAGCATTACAAATAATCTATTTTAATTGATTCAAAACATTGATGATGTTATGCCGGTTATAATCTGAAATGTTGAGAGAACCGCCTAATAATTTTTATAGGGCTCGATCGGTCTAATCAGTGCGACTGACTATTTTGCCTAACGCAAATCATGGTTTTGTTCGCTGTGAACGATGTGTGATTTCAAATGTGAAATACTCTGAAATGCCTACTATTTTTTTACTCTTAGTTAACTATTTTTGCTAGTAACAAATCTCGCTGTACATTTTCACAAACTAATGTATGACGTAAAATGACGACCGTAATTTTTTATTTTTATATTGCTAGGTTTTAAGTTCAGAGATTTGAATCAATTTGAGATAAGGATCTGTGTTTCAAAAATTGTATTATGAAAGAGTAAGCAGTGCGCAGTTGACCTGCTAAATGCAATCATGATTATTACACAAAGTGTACTTGAAAATTTGGTCATCTTTATGGAATACATCTTTCACAATATATTATCTGATCCGAAATGAATTAAAAATGACATGAACACGAACATGTAACTATGCAATGCGATTTAATTTTTCTTTTTTAGTGCACGTTCTATACATGTAACGTCATGTAAATAGCAGATAATCGTTGAATAACTCCGCTTTGTTACTCGCGATCGAATGCAACCCATGTGTATCCATACGTGTTCCTTAATTGTTCAATAGTTCAATCGCACTTTCGTAACCCGAGCGTGTGTATTATTATGTTAATTATCACTTTCTCGCAGCATTTCGTAGTGTTTTGCGAAAAGCGTTGTTCCTCATTGGTGCTAGCGATTTTACGACGATCGTCTACGGGATTGCCTAACCTGTCCGGAAACATTGACATCGTTGCAATTGTCCACCGATCACTGGGTTTCTATGAGGGACGTCCTTTTGTTGCCACTTATTAACACTTAGGGGAGATCTCCCCGTTCAGTCGGTTAAGTGTTAAGAATACCTCAAATTATGTTTGGGAATACATTAACTTCAACTGAAAGTCGTTCCGTGTGGTATCTTGAACTTCTGAGAGCCACTTTATATTTATCAATTATTTAACCTCGCAATGTTTCCGTTGACGAGTCAGCGAATCCCGCCGTTTGCGAGGAATCGTTTAAACGATAAGCCGAACAAACCCGATATCGATTTAGTGTTCGTCGACGATGCGATTTATTGTATTGCCACGAGAGCGACGTAATCGACCCTACAACAAATGTACCTGGTAGACACAATCGTGTTAACCGATTGAAGGCCACGTGGAATTTATTAGCCTCGAGATCTATATATTAACTCGTCCGAATTTTGGGGACGCGTAATTCGAGCTGACAGATCGTGTACAGAGAAATTCCTTATCCGCGTAGAGAGAATGCGATGCTCGCGTTCGTCAACGCGCGCGCCCTAATCTCGAAGTTATTCGACTAAAAAGGATTTTATTTAATCAGAAGAATTCCGTTATGTAATACGATCGTGTAGTGAATGTCTACCTTTTTATCGTGCGATTACTGATATCAACCGAATAAATTCGAGGGCTCACATATCCATCGAAAGGTAATCCTCTACGAGCCTAAGTGCGCTCCGTGTTTCACTGAGGATTTTGAAACTGGATTTAGACGGTGCCAAATAGAAATTACGATTCGTAGGCCACGTGCTTTTCGATTCATTATTGTACATTCGTTATCAGTACATTGATATATATATTATGAATAAAAAATTGGAGGCACTCGATAAGCGATCTGTGTGACGTAATGTGAGCAAGCGTGCACACCGGAATGTAGGAATTTAGGACCGCAGAAGAGGGTTGAGGCGAGCGCGATATCACTTTTGGAATGCGTAATATTTAAAGAAAAATATATATATTATAATTAGACGTATGTCGCAGTTGCTCGTGTCTCAAGATACACGTTCGAAGTACTATCAGCTCCTCCCCAGTGACAAGGAACTTACTGGTCTGCTTTCTGGTACCGTTGTTGTTACTCTAACTATGTAAGTGATTTTTTAAGTAATTTGTTTAATAGTTATTTTTATGAAGAAACCCGACTATACATATATATATTATATATATTAAACCTAATTAATTAAATCTAGGCTGTACCATATACATATAATGAAGACTTTGATCGGACATACTTGTTCGCACCTAGTCGAACTTAGGCTGATTGTAAATAAAATACTAAGGCATATTCTAGGAGAAACTTAAGACTATTAAGGAAGAATGAATTCTTTTCATTCATTTGACATCCCGAACTTATGTTATGTCGTAGTACATGTCGCGAGAATGGTGTTCCTACGTAATAGGAGATTATGTAACTACCTTCGGGGCGATCACCTCTTGGATAATGATCTATGCAATAATGATCAGCTGTTGTACAATTTCAAAAGAAGCATTTGTGAGATATTTAAGTAACTTTGCGTGACAGCAAGCTCGTCCCGAGACGCTTGTTATCTGCTTTTCGCAATAAACGTTTTTTTACCTTAATTGCACGACTTCTTCGTAATCGTGGAAGGATGGTTATCCGAAGGGAGAATCTTTCAAGGTAGAGACTTGACAATGTACCGGGGAAAGTAAACTATCTCGTGCATTCTTCTATATTTAACGCATCGATTCAATGTAAGGTTCTATGTTGTTCGTGCAGTAACTTTTCTCGCGTATTGATAATTGATAGAGTTCTAAAGATCATGTATTCGAGCTTTTTATTTCATACTTTGTAAAATCGTTGAGCCTTATTGTACGAGTTTATAAATTTGGCGGTTGTATATCTATCAGAGATGAGTTGGGAGATTGCTCACGGAAGGGAT